CCCTTTGAAATCTCAAACAATATAAGTACAAGTAATATACACATAGTTGTAAACCAATCTTGGTCTAACTGATTATTTTGGGACATGCAAGGTCACTAAGACAAGAACCTGAATATCTAGATTCAATGGAGCTTACATTACTTGTTGGATTCCTTCTGAAATTTTTGCGTGGTCTTGTTTTACTTCATTAACAATGTAGTGTTCAAAACGGATGATCACTTTCATTTTGTACTTTTTTAATGTATACGTCATTGATGTAACACTAATATAGCAAAAGCTTCGTTCTCCTTTTCGCCTTACAGCAAATCTTCTACAAAGCCGTGGTTGAATTCATTAAATTTTGACCAATTCCTTGAAATGATTTTCTAGCGTTGTATTCCTGGGATAAAACTCACGTACATTTTGTAATCCTTGCATGAAACTGTGTATTCGTATCACTTACTTTTTGCCACACAAATGTAGACATTCCAGTTGTTTGTTTGTTTATAGAGCAGTCAGGTCAACACCCTGACGAACGGTGATGTTGTGTTGTCGAACAGCAGAACTGGAATGTACTAGTTATTCTCAGTGAAAGTAGAACCCACACTCTGTCGCTTGGAAATATTCCGGAGCTTGTTTCAATTTCATTTATGTAAACCCTATTGCGTAAAACCTTGGACAAATAGAATTAATAGTAAAACCCCTTGATCGATAAGGAATATAATTCTAATTCCAGGGATGCTTCTCTTCTTTGTGTTCATCTTTGTCTAGCAATTAAATGACATATTACAATTGAAGGAAAGAGTTTTAGGTTGATTGGATGGCTCTCTTTGAGTTTTGAGTTTTGAAATAAGCTATAGTTCTGGGAATATTGATAATTTTAGTAGGTGTAAAGGTTGATTACAAAAACCCAATGTTCAGTAGGTCATACCTTTCTTCAATATTGTTTTTGTTATACAATCATGGTTATGGGTGTCTTACTTAATTTTTAGTGATTTAGAATTTACTGATATGGTTGACACTTGTTTACAAGGGTTATAATAACGAGTCCAAAAAAGAAAAAAAATAATGTAATAATAATTTTTAGGTTTTAGTTTGTCTTAGAGGTATATTTAACTAATTTGAAACCCTGATATAATAAAGCACATAACCATTGAGCTCCCAACAAATTATTACAACTAAATCGTAAATAGGTTAATGTAATTTTCAATATCCCTAAACAGAAGAACGTTGTTAATAGGTCTGATACAAATTCAATAAGAAAATTACAACGGCGTTTCTACAAGCAATATTGCTACAACCAAGTATGTTTTTGACATCTAAGATTTGAAGGCGCTTGTGAATCTAGTTTCTGGTTGAACTTAAACAGTACAAATTTCAATTAGTATTATTATCGTTTTAATTTCTAGGGTCTTTATCACAATCTGTACTATGCAATCAACTGTTTTTGGAACCTAATTTAAAGAATGAGGATTTTTCAGGCCGGGCATTTTCATAAATTAGTTACAAACACATAACTATACAGGTTTAAAAACAGATTTATAGTGTATTGTTGCAATCACATAGCAAACATCATCGCTACTTTTTACTACTAGCGGATAGCGTTACATTTAAATGAATTGTTTATTGGTGTTCATTTTAAATAGTGGTACCAAATTGCAGACACACTTAATGCGGAGGTGTTTAGCAAACTCTCGATCTTTTCAAGTTCTTGTAACTCGTGTACCAGTTTTTTAGATTGACACAAGATCTCCAAGAACTGCAAAACCTGAATTTCATTTGTTGCGAAATGTATCTCAGAGTAAATACTTAAAATGTATGTATTTTTTTACTCTGAGGTACTATTAATTCCAATTCTAATACTAGAAAGGCTGACTTATTTTGTTATATTCCATACATTTTGTGCATATTCAACTGAACGTAACCGACAACATAGTATCCTACAAACATTCTCCCAACTTGTGTGCCCGAGTCTCAAATATTATACCCGTTGCTATTTTCTCTAGTGACACCGTCATGTGACATGCTCGAGTCACCCATTCACACAAGAAGTGTGCCTTCAATGTATACAGTGGCCCAACCGCGCCTAATCGCATTGTGCCTTTTTGCCAATCCAAGGCCTCGTAGACGTGTGCAAAACTGGCAAAATAGCAAAATGGCGCATCCCGTTTCCTCCTTTTGTTCTCGTGATTGCAAGGTCGATATCGTACAGCGAATCAGATCCAGCAACACTGCAATTTAATGTTTTGATTGTTGTTATTGTCCTAGGAAAACGTGGGTTGCGTTGTTCTACAGAGGGGCAAATCTGTAACTTGAGAATATGTCATACTGTCGTCATTGCCATAAAAGGTGTCGATACTGATACAGAAACATAAATTTACCGACTAATGAACTATTTATTCGATTATTCATTTCAGTAAACAAACTTCTGACTAACAACTTCTTACCGACATAGCATAACTTACATGTATTAGACTTAAATGCATTTTTTTTTCTTATTTCCACAAATAATTATCTTGTTTAAGGTATTATTGCAGTAAATTTCTATTACGATTACTAACATCACATTTTAATCATCGGGGTCGTAGGCCTAAATATTCGCGAAAGTCCTGTAAATAATAAACCCCACAAACTAAAATTTCCCACAACTAAAAAATAACACAAACATGTTTAAAAGTATACAATGTACAAACTAATGTTTTTTTATTAAATAATTTACGTAAATTAGTAGTAACATCCAAGCAGGTTCATAAAATTGTCAAAATATCATGAAAAAACACAAAATTCAACGTACTAATCTTATTATGTATCTTATCGGCTTTTCCTCAGCTTCGTGTGAAGGTCTAAGTAACTTCCGTGGAGAATTGAACAAGGATCGGTCAAGGTATCGAAGCCCTGATGCTGCGATTTAAATGCCTGCCTGCCACATGAATGCTTGCATCTTCAAAGCCCATCGACCGCCTTACCGTCAAACTGTGCATTATTTCGAAAATAGCTGTAGTTGACATAGTTAAGACATTACAGTTTGCATTGAGACCCCTCAATTGATTGGTTTGCTTCTTTGCCGGAATGTTCCTGGAGTCATGTGATTTTTTTGCGTATCTTCCATTTTACCGTTAAGGTTTACAGAAAAAGTAAACCCATACAACCTCACCGACTGAGTTAAGCCTTGGGACATTCCTACAACAGGTCAAGGCCCAACCTCCGCCCGTGTCCTTGCAAAGGATGTCATCCGGTGTCATCAGCTTGTGTAAACAAGCAGCCTGCATCTGTAAAGCATGAGCAATTACTTTCTAACATTATGCCGAAGCGATTACGTAAAAATCAAATAATACTATAAGTGCAACAAAGAAATTGTAGTTATTTTAGGTACAAAAACTAAAACATCCACTAGTTTTTGATGTCCCAAGTAACAAACAATTAATCATATATGAAGAGTTATTATTCAAATAATGATTTAGTTAGGTTATCATTAATATAAATTTCGATAAAATAGAAAAAAAATTTGATCATGTTATTGTTTCCATAAAAATATCCTTGCTTACTTGATTGAGAATCAAAAAAATAGATTGGCTACTAGTCAGCGGTTGAGAAATTATTTATTACACATAAGTTGGCAATAAGATCCATTTGCTCACTCTGTATTCGGGTCGCATAGTAGAAACTGTTGACCTACAATCACGTTTGTTTGTCTTGATGTTCTGTATTAGAATATATTAAATCATATAGTAAATATGAGTTAAATGATTAGATTTGTGAAATAAACTTAAAAACGTTATCAATTTGAAAAATCGCTGTTTTTCAAACTTATTTTACGATTTAAATTGTTGAGAAATACCTTAATAGAAAAATACCTCATCTAGCAACGTTTTCAACATTGTAAATATTTTTGTGAATTCCCATAGAAAAATATTATCAACAAACTTCAATCAGTTGCATTGGCATACAAACAGTGCGATATAATTAATATTATAATTAAAGAATAGTAGTTTGTGTCAAGATAGGTTCATGCAACTTGTTACTGACATAACACAACAATCATGGGCTAGGACATGTATTGTGGCGTGTTCTAATTTGCCACATGTACATACAATAGGTTGCTAAACTAGCGCTTCCGGCAAACACAACTCACATAACTAACTTTCATACATAATATCTTATGTATCACAGAAGAGAATACTTTATTACAGAAACAGAGGATACTTCTGTGATAAAGTTGTAAGGCTAGTCGTGTGATTATTTAAGGTCATTTCAAAATCCAATATCTATAAATGTAATTATTTCAAACGTTTTTACATTTTTCCCAGGAGACTTTAACGGGAGACTTTAATGAAGTCACTCAAGTTGGTGCTTAAGCGTAACAGGTTAAATATAAATAAATAAATAATATTTTACCAATAAATATTTTAAATTATTTGTAACCGTTCTCGCTGTTGAAAGAGGGTTTTAATAAAAAACTAATCTTTTCTAATATTGCACCAAAGACTAAGAAAAATCATAAAATTCATGGTACAATACGACTATAGCATAAATACTTTCTCCTGCATATTTATTAACAATTAGTGTGTGACATTTTTAGGTTATATTTATGTCAACTTTACGTAGAGTGCTAATTATTGTTTGCGGTTTGTTTCTTGCTTTTTAACTTACGTTACATTTAGATTTTATTGAATCCTATTATTTTTTGGTAAACTGGTAGTTTTCTCTAATATTAAATCCGAAAGATTAATAACCCGTAGTAAAATGTACGATTAATAAAATATACATTTACACAACAAAATCGTGCTCTAGGCTTACTGAACGCCAAACATGCATAAAATATTTGAGATTTAACAGTAGGAACAATTATATCTGCGCTATCCAAAGCTAATGACGTGATCAAGTTATTACAATATATTTATTATAAATAATCTTGTTCTTATCTATAGTTTACAATATCATACAAGACCCATCTAACCCATATCATTTCAACTAGATGTTTTACAAAGTTTATATCTATTCTAAAAGTAGTTGTTGCTCAGGTATGGAGAGAAACAGCGACGAAGTGACAGCCAGGAGCTGAGTGGAATCCAGCTTCTATCAGCAACTGCTTACCAGCTGAAGAAACCATATCAACAACTGCTGATCCCCATCACTGTATGGATCGGCATGGAGCAAGCTTTCATTGGTGCTGATTTCACACAGGTAAATTTAAATTACGTCAGTTGTGATACTTCATAGGGTTTTCCTCTATTGTGTATAGTTGTTCGCGTTTCTTGTGTAATATTTGTCATGAATGTTAGTATACACAGCTGTAAGGCTCTTGAGTATCCTTGACGTCATAGCAGACGTCCTTAAACAAATTTACTACTGACTGTTGTTTCCTAGCAGATGAATTATGCAACATTAACACTCCAGACACACGAAAAACGACAAAATAAAATTCCGCACTTTAGAACCTTTGAGAAAGATGGAAGTATGACTTATCACAAATGCATCGTGAATACGTGGGATTAACTTAGATTTTTGAGCTAGAACTACAAATACTACTTGAAAAGAACATATTATATACGGTTTTTGTGTTAGTCCTTGATTGAACCAAAGCACAAACTCAACTTTACAATTATTTCCATACGCATATTTTCATTGAAATAAGAGTCCTCCTACGTGAGGGACATATATTATGAGATAAACAATCGAAGATGTTGACTTAGGTAGAAAGTGTTAGGATAGGTAGCTTCACGATAACGTGGGTAGTGAGAAAGTGGGTGTCATAGGTCAAGAGATAGGTACTCAGCATTCGCACAAACACGCAACACACGCACACAGACACACACACGACAGACACCAATACAACACACCAAGGACCACACTTGCGCACTAGGCGGCCTTGACTCGTGTGCGAATTAAGTAATTTGTTTGCGATCAGCGCCATCTAGGGGCTGAGTGTTTCGCAAAAAGTAAATTACGGTTGAGAAAACCTCTCAAGAATGCTCAAAGAGGAAGTTAAGGCTTTCACCGTAGATATGACAAGTGGTTTTGTAAGTGGATGTCAAAGGCTCTGCGATTAGTAGTGATGACTTGATTAATCTTTAATAGTTCATGTTTGTCAGATTTGAAGTTAATTCTACACACGTTGTTCTCCATAATCGTACATGCAAGTTGGGGCATATTAAGAGTCAAATTAAAATCAACTATATCAATAACTTTAAAAACTAGGATTTGGTTTAATTATTCGTAATCATACACCAGTGTCTTGGATCATTCGGTTTTTTCACTGTTTTTACTGGCTGAAAATCACATTTAAAACATTTTATTACTCTGTCTACTCTTGTTCTTTAAAACGAACACGATTTGTGTCGACACCCGAGCGAAATTAAAATCTTAATCAAGAATTGCGTTAAAATATTTTTAAGTTGATAAATTGAGAAAACAATATCAGCAGAGTCTTATTCAATCCCCTAAGTAAACTTTTTTAGTCAAATATTAGGAAAGAGTAAATATATAACATCGTTTATGTAATTTATTATACAATAAAATATTCACTATTCTTCCATAACACTGCACCAGAATCAAAACATCGTTTCTTGGAACAGTAATATACACTGCAACCTTAGTTTATAGAGTATTAAAATGTCTGATTCGATGGGATGAAAAGCAAACAAAAGATTTGAAGAACTGCGGAGGGCCAGTCTGACCTATGAAATTAGCGGCCCACGTGCACTCACACTGAGTTATGGACCATTAAGTACAAATAGCATATTATGTGTGTCTGTGTGTGTGGTTGGAATGACTGCGAGTGTGTGAATGTGTCTGTTACGACCCCAGTATTCGGACTTTTGAATGCTGCATTGTATAATGGTATGACTCCATTCTGTTAAACTGACATAGTAATAAGACATAGTATAAAATACTCTACTACTTGATCGTTTATGTACTCGATACAAAGTTACTTAATACGATTTATAATAACATGTTTTAATCTTATTTGTTTTGTAATATAATATTATCTGTGGATCTTAGTCTCATTCCACATTTAGAGACCTCTCAGTTAAGCCGTTAAGCATACATACAAGACCGTGTTCGTCACTATGTATTTTAATTTTAGTAAGCAATATTGAATCACAATAAAATGTTTTATTGGTCAGTGCATAACGTTATTTATGTGATCAAATAAAACCAACCATATTAGTTTTGATCAAATATTCCAAATTAAATGACAAAATGTTAGTAATATTGGGTGGTTGTTTACATTTGTCTCGTGTCAATCTTAAACCATAAAAATTATTATTGAAATATTATTTACCAACTTAACTAATGAACCTATTTTCGTCATGATCTTGAAAATTTTTATATTTACTATGCCATTACATGTTTTTGGCAAAAAGAATAGTGTTATGTTTCATAATAGGCTGCAAACGCTAATTTTCCTACAAAAATTGTTAATATTTTAAATTTTAGGATTTTGGTTTAAATACAACTTTTCACTCGTAGGTCAAAATAAATTACTATGGAGCAATTGAAAGTAAAATTGAATATTTGACTGAGACATTGTATGGGTTATGGTCGGTACGATGACATGTAAAAGGTTCAAGGTTCGTAAAAGAATTATACTCATACTTAAAAATAGGTGGAGAATTTTAAATTTTCATGCTAGGCTATTGAATGTAAATGGCTAATATGTAACGCGCAGTTTCAGTTACAAATAAATAATAAAAATACACACCCTTTAAAGAGTCATTAATTCAATCATTTACACTGGTAATATTAAACGAAAATGGCGTAACAAAATATGTGAGGTGATGCAATTAGACGTTGAATCTGCTATGACCCATAAAACAACAATTAAAACATGCAAAACAAGCTATATGACATAGAATTTCGCGAGGCTGGTTGCCTTCTGAGCCTGTTTCAGCAGCCCGTAGTATTTTCGTAACCGGTGTGTTTTTGTCGCAGGTTGTTAAACAGCCATAAAATAAAGACGGGTGGCCGACATACCAGGTCATGGTAATTATAGCAGAGCATTTTATTGTACAACAACTTGGTGGACAATAGCGTTGCAATATTATGTCTGCTCGACGAATATTATACATCTAATTTAGAACCAAATTGTACATTTGGCCATTTTTGTAAAGGAATTGTATTTTCTTACGTTTGGGTTACCGACGAATTGCTTTACAAACTATATGCAGTACAAGACTAAAGCTGGCTTCAATTATTTAAAAGGGCAAATTTTCATACTCACTCAAATATCTTGTGGTACCCTTTGAACACTTTGTGAATAACCCAATAGCCTACGTATTTGTGGACAACTATTAAGCATTAATATGGTATACAGATTCTTGTCAACATTTATGGTGTCGTACCAATATTTCCGACTATCAGAAATTGGGCTTACGTCATTTTCTACAGATGTTTGTAAGTATAATCAGATGGATCATCGTATGATCATATTTTATTCTAAACGCGAGTATTTCACCAACGATGGAAGCCGTACAGTTTGTGATCTTTACAGTTTGTGGTGTTTTATCAATGTAACTATGAAAGAATTTTATGATGGTAAAAATACGGTTAAAATACTTTTTACTCATTCTTTATTCGGACAGTTACATAAAAAAAACTTCATAAATTTGAATTTGCATGAGATAAATTTGATGACTGCTTACATAAACACTCATTGATTTAAATTAAAATCTTACTTCAATCTTAAACCAATTAAAACCACTCTCTATCACACCTTACTGTATTGAGTAGAATGAACTTTATGAAATTATCCATAATCAATACACCACCGGCCACATTGGCACAATTTAAGCCCCGCCCTGCAATTTTCCTGCCTTTGTTCAACTTGGCACTTCCCATAATGCAGCTAGTACTTCAACTAAGTAACATTATCGGCCTTGCTCAATAGTAAGGAGTGAATAAGCAAATCCAAGCTCTTGTGTAAGTTTTACCATTTCTGTGCTGTGGCGTCATGTCCCAGAAATCGTAGATGTTCAAATTAACAGTTTTATATATTTAAACATTTACAGTTTTGATTTGCTGCTTAATAGTCATGCTGTGATTAACTTCACCAATTCCGTGTGATCCAGAGAATTATGGCATACTCATAGTTTTATTGGAAATAATCAGTTAAAATTTAGTTGTGATATACATTTGCAAGGCGTACGAATTTGAGTGATGATATTGTTCTTTTGATTTTATAGACTACCACTTATCGAACATACTACGCTGTCTATTAATTCTGGTAGTTTTAATGCTGATAATATTTACCCAACTTTTATTTTATCAAATTGTTTGCTTCTCTAAATTTTTTTAGAACCAAACATTTTTAAAATAATTTTATTTCTTTCAAAATAAACTCACTTTTTAAAATTATAGTTAATTAATTCATATCTTCATAAGTTGTACATAGTTCAGTATGTAAATTCTAAAATATTAACTATTGTTTCCAAATACCTTTATTTAGGCAACTCTGTTCCATCATTTGAAAGATAATAACCTGTACGACCAACTTTAAAGTAAAACTTAACTATATTTCAGTATAACACTAGATCTCTGATTTTATCAAACCAAACGTGTGCTTAGTTAAATGTAAAATAACACAGTTCCTCTCTTCGAAAATTTCACTCATTTCGTCAATGGTTACAACAACTTAAACACAAATCTTACAAACATTTATAATGTACATACCCTTTTAATTCAAAATAAATAAAATGTTTATTTATTTGAATAAGTGATACTTTTATAAATTTTTATAAATTTTTTTAATGAAATAAATAAAATAAACACATAATTGCAACCTTTGCTCAACGATCACATTGGCATTGCCTCAGTCTCCACCACATTCCACAGCCATCTCTATCAGAACCTGCACGTATGATGTAATTGTTGATAATTGATCACGTGATGTGTTTAATAATGAGTGTAAACATTGAAGTATGAAGGCACTCTCAATTAAACTGTATATAAACACAACCTATTAGGTTGTAATGGTTTGATACTTTGTTGGGTAAAATGGTTAGTTTTCAGCATTGATTGTATTGGCAAATTATAAAATATTATCATCAGTATTTAGAGGATTATATTGGAAGTAGAAATCTAAGTGACCATCTTGATTACTTAAGATTCTGAAAAAATAAATCAATCCTATTTTGAGGCAAACCGTTTGACACAATTTTTATAATATATCTTTAAAATAGTAAATTTAGTCACTATGGCTTAGAGAAGAGTAACTCTTTTCGTCCGGAGCTCCCGTTTAACTCGCTCGAGAAAAAATTAGTGTGGAAAAAGCAGTTGTAGCTTCGAGTGATGAACTACATTTTTCGCCATACTGAACCATTTTAAAGCTAAATGATTCACAGTGCTGAAATTTTGTACATTGTTTAGCTTTATAAATCAACTTTGAAAATTGTTTCCTTCTTGTTTTTCATGAAACGAATAGCTGTCATTTAGATGAAATATGTATCACTTTCTCAATAAATTATTACAATCCCATTCATTTATATACGTCTTTGTGTCATAAAGGGGTATATGTTTGCGAATTTTAAAATATAACACGACAGTAAACATTTGATTAAGGCAATAAGGTAATATGATACGGTGTTGTTTTTTTATCAACACAATTTCCTTCAGCGAAATTAGTGGAGGAATTTTAAAGCTTTGTAAATGTAAAGTTGATGCCCTTGAATCTAGCTGACTAAGGCCTACACAATAATAGAGAGATAATGGAGAATATATAGAGAGAGGGAGCAATTTCAACCCTGTCACCCATACATTGCAAACAATAATTTGTTATGCAACATTGCGTAAATATTTTGCAGCATCATTCTGGTGACATCTCTCACCAGTGACATCTCTCTGGTGTTTCTCACAGTATATTCGCTGTTCCAGGCGTACGTCTCCTGCGCCTACGGGGTGCACAACATCGGCTATGTGATGATCTGTTTCGGAGTGGTCAACGCTATCTGCTCCGTAGTGTTCGGGTCCATCATGAAGTTCATCGGTCGCAGCCCCCTGATGATCCTGGGAGCGCTGGTCCACGCCGGACTGGTCATCATCCTTCTACACTGGAGGCCACACCCGGAGTCTCCGCTCGTCTTCTTCACCATCAGCGGTCTCTGGGGAGTGGGAGACGCCGTGTGGCAGACCCAAGTTAACGGTGAGTTGTGTTCCACCACTCTAGGTCTGGAATTTTCGACAAAATCCTAACAATTTTCTACCTTGGTTGCCCACAATTCTTAAAACGAGTGTTCCCGAATCGACTGGTTTTTACAGTCGACTTCTAATGTGAAGAGAATGTAGTTTTTTCAATTATCGACATCATTTATAGATTCGTTGATCGATACTTCTTGATAGAGTTTGATATTTGGTAGAGTTTTGTGGCTGTTCAGTAGATTAGATATTCCACAACACCATAAATATGTAGACGAATTTGAGGAGATTTGTGGCTGTAAATATTGTGCATCATTGCCGTTCTACACAAGCAGCAAGTCTTTGGCTCCTTTAATCATTGTACTAAGAAAGTCGCCTTGTCGCAAAAAGCCTATGAGTATTTCTTCATGGAACTGCAGAACCTACATAGCGTTTTGCAATACTTAGAGGTATAGATTTTTATCTTTTTGTCACTTTTGAGGTTTTAGACAGTTTTCCAACTATACATTCTTCAACGAAATCTCTCTTTTAAAGGTCTTTTATCATCAGATAAATAATGGCCTTTCCTTGTTACTTGCAAATTTTTTGAACATCTGGATGACACCAAAAATTTCAATGAGCCTAAGCAGAGGAGGCTATGCCCTAACATTATTTAGATCTAAAATAAAACAATCCGAAATAAAAATCCTTCGCTTGGAGATATCAAGCACATTACAAGTGTTGAATCACACCTCGTACTGTTGACCTACCCTGGTCGCTGCTGGGTTTGTTCTTGCTAGTTGCTGTCTCGCCAATCATTAGTCCTCAGCAGGAGATGAGAAAACATCTTTGTATGGATCAAATTATCAGATGGTCTGTTTTCCTCGGGTCGCTGAACCATCGCCGGATGTGAGAGTTGACGTTTGACTGTTCATTATCGATATTTGATTGATCGATTATCGATTATCGATTTACACATCGCTGACTGAGCTAGGCGCACTATAAATCTCAATTGACCCTTTTGCACCAGGGAATTTAAAGGTTTCTCCTCTGTAAACGGTTGAACTGTTTTTCCTGCAATTGTTTTTGGAGGTTAATATGATGTATGTGTATTAATGTTGTACATTTTTTCGAAAACTGAAAAATCTGCCTATATTTTCGTCTGCATTGTTTGATTTTCATAGGAAATCGCATACTGATGAAGAATAATGAAAATAGAATGCAACGCATTAGACTTCAAGGTCTTGGATCGGGTAGGATTGCATTTAGCTCTGAAGAAACAAAGCTATGTAATAATTCAAACGAAATGTTCAAACCCATCCACTGAAAGGCTACAAATCTTCAAGCGACCTTTTGTTAACACAAAAGTGCCTAGTGAATATTCATAAGGCTGTGGTTTTTCCACCTCAATACGTGGAAGAACGTGAAAGCTTATTGAAAGCTCAATTTTGAGCCCCGTTAGCAATCATTGTTATGTATAACAATATCCTACCAACCGTTTACAAAATGTCAGTTTTCACTTACTAAACAAAAAACCGTTTGGTTTGTGTCATTTGCATTTATTTTTATTTCAAACTTGTACCTGAGAGTTCCGTGCAAATTTAAAAGATCTAGAAATGTTGTATACACTTGATTAAGTTTGTGAACGATTAGTGTTATTTTTAGAATAAATTATAAAATAAAGAATATACCAGAATGCATTTCAAACATAGGAGATAGTGTACGTTTTTTTATTAAGTGTTTTCTCTAAATTAACTGTACATCCTTTATTTTGCAATTTGCCATTTTGTAACAAGCCTAATGTATCATCCACAGTATCCTTTAAAGCCGTTTACTCTCCAAATGTATAACGAAGTTTTGTTAAAATTTTATTTTAAACTTGAAGGAACCTATGCAAAGATTAGTACATCTCTGTTTGCTCTGGTGATTGTAGACACTACCGCTCGGAAGTGACCTACCTTCTGGAGGACCTTGCCACGTAAACATCGGGACTCGGAAGTACCTGAGGTCGACCTTTCTCCCGGCCCAGATCTGCGAAACTTGTCCGGTCGCGTAACTTTTTATCCGTTTGCATTTATCAGTTCGATCATATCCGGAAAGTTGTTTACAAACACAAAAGGAAATTTTAAAGAGTGTTGCATTCATTTAAAATTATTTAGTTAAATATTAACACGTAGAAAAGATATTTCTATGTAACTCTAAGAAAAATACGTGTTTACTGTTAATATGCCGCGATAGAAAATTTTTGGAGGTACAGTACTTAGTAGTTTCTCAATGGTCCTGCGACTGCTCCAAGTCAGTGATTAAAACCAAATAGTTATATTTCATAAATAGTAGTTTTGTGTTCTAACGAGCGATAAAAACTTCAAAGCCAAAAGATGCATCCTCTAACGTGTCTGTTGCACATTATACCTAGTGTGTTCACAATTCAGTCGGAAATTTAGTACCGATAAATTAGAATACCTATTTTTAGTTACAAGCTTGAAACAATCAGATCACTATTATTCATATCAAAACAGTGTATAGGAATTACTATTCTGGATATTCAGAAAATTAAAACCCCGATTTTATCATTAACATTGATAACGAACGGCCTTCGTTTCTGCACGTCCAGTTTTGCGAGATATGTAAATGTGGGAAAGACTAACCGGATAGCAAAAGTCGGATGCGGGGTTTAGGTCGGCCGTGGCAACAATAAGCGACCTTGCAAAGATCGGGAACATGTTGGTATGAATATGTAAAAGATAAATTGGCGCGCAAGTTGGCAGACGGGTCCGGAAATGCCTTGAGCGGAAGCGCGGGTGGCTGCGTCGACTGATGGCAGTACTGCCACTAGCACAATACAAATACAGTAGTCATTATATACTATATAAATGCACACCGCATTGTAAAGTGACCATTACCTTTTCATTCATTGCCATTGTTAATGTCACTCCTCCCGTGATTTCTGAATTAGTTAGATGTGTGGAAAATACGCATTTCAATCCTCTTGCGCATTGCTACCGGGAAATATCAGTTTCTTCACATGACAGAGATTAAATATTCAACGATCTAGAAAATTTTATTCAACCCCTCTCTACTTCCAATTTTTTTAAGTATAAATTATTGTTAATATTGAATTTTACTAAAGTTTTTTTTTAAGTATGTACAATGTACATCTTAAGAGATTATTTATTCAAACATAAAAGTATAGTTTCTTTAAAAACTCACTGTGGTTTTTAATGCCGTTCATAGATGTAGTTAATAACGTTTTCTGTCTGTGTAGTTTATAGTTATCGCTAAATTTACTTCCTAATTTAGTATTAAAAACCAAGACATCGCTAAGATTGTTGATCCTTATTTCAGGGTATTATTTAAAAAAATCTAGGAATTCTTTTGTTTTTGCCCTCTAAACTTCGACTGAAAAAGCAAATAACAATGCTCAAGAGTGTGATATATTTTTTGCTGAGACGAGACACAGCTGCCGCAGGAAGACGAGCCTTGGGTCAAGGTTGCAGACAGTGAGCGAAGCGAGCAAAACCCTGACCGCCGCGAGCGGGGAGCGTGATGCCCGTCTGACGAACGATAATTGCCCTTCTGTACAATAACTTGGATCTACGCGACGTTCTAGGTCCTAGTACTATATACGACTATGGAAGCTGCACAATCAGCGACTGAAAAAGTTTGACCCTTTGACTATTGATTGTACAGACTCCATATTCCCATGATAAAACTGTAGCTAGTCTAGAAGGAAAATGAACGAAGTTGAGTTGAGCCCCCGAAAAAGTCGTTGATATCACTTAAGAGGGTTCCACCCACCGCTGTACCACGTAAACATGGTCCTACAAAAACGAACCTCCTGACACTGCAAGCTCTGATATGTCAAGAGCACAACAAGCACACAATCAAACAACAAAATTAGTATTAAAATGTTGAGAGCTTGTACCGTAGAAGACGTTCAGGAACATTAGTATGTTTAGCCGCCATCTTGAATTGACCTATTAGAACCCTCTTAACTGGTTTATGTCAAACACATTAACTTTTTAAAAGACGAAGGCAAGTAACTATAAAACTATTATTTGTGAAAACTGTAAAGTTAAGCTATTGTGTATTAGGCTATAGCATATTTTATGTAATATCCGACTATCAAAGAATCAGATATTAATGCGAAATCGGTACGATTTTTAATATTCTTTTGAGGTAGCGGTCCAGTACTGGTACTTGGTCTTAGTACTGTCTAACGTAGACGTTTTTTTCGATTTGAATAACAAACTGGTCCATTTAGATATGTACCTCACATCAAACTCTACATGAAATCTTCATTGTAGATGTTAGCCTTCGGATTGCCAAATAATATTTGAAAAGGTTCAAATACCTGCTATTAGGCAATCCAATGTTGTTGTAAACACAACTAGTTTTGGCACCTCTGTGTGGCACCATCATCAGGATGTACAAGGTGGGTTTTCTTTCTTCATACGAAGAGCGTATTTATTATATTGGTTAACACGAAAATAATAAATAGAAATTCAAACACGACACAAACACGAATACGAGACATTTATGGTAACTGTCAGTTTTTTAAATCCGATCAGTTACCATAAATGTCTCGTATTCGTGTTTGTGTCGGGTTAACCAATATGACGCTCTTCGTATGAAAAAAGAAAACCCTTCTTGTACAGCCTGATGATGGTGCCACACAGGTGCCAAAACTAGTTGTGTTTACAACATTGGATTTCCTAATAGCTATTTGAACCTTTTTTAGTCAACATGCTTGAACAATCTTATGTCATGCTGCCAAGATCCACCGTTTAAATGTAACGAGTTGAGAAAAAAAGGTTTTCAAGAAACGTGCTTGCCTATTAATATAAAGTTTATGATTATATTTATGTGTTCGTCGTCACCACACCAGTCGCAAGCAGTATTTTCACAAGTTCTTGCTCAGTGTAAGTGTACCCATCCCCTTTTATCTTAAGAATAGTTGATGCGCTATTCGTCGATGAATCGTTTTCACTTGAATTACTTGTTTGTCGAATAATACTTTGGAACCAGTTCATTTCCACGAGAGCCTGTGTTCGACCAATCTCGAAGTTCGCCAATTTCCTTGTGTCTACAAACCGATCGTCCTTGTAGCGTCCAGCGTGTGGGCGGTCAGTGCAGCCAGTCTGGCGGTTATAGCCTCGTCCGAGGTCGTTAACATAAGCTTCGAATAGAGGCTATCATTACTGTATCCACCAATCAGCTGCTGATTCAAACTTAACTGTTGTCATCAATGCTAGTCGTATCTCAAGGTGATCGGAGCACGTGAGATATTTCAACTACGTGAAGAGACTCTCGAGAGCGTGGATGGTGAAAGTACCAGGTTTAACTGAAGATATACCGCAGAAAATGATCGTGTTTGTTCAACGATGTGGCTGCTCTAGGATAGGTCGTAAGTTTGCTTCTTTATGGGATCTCAGCTAGAGGCTTCTAACAGCCGAGGAAACATAAGCTGCTCATGAAAGTAGAAGATAAAATTTATCTTGAGTTGAAACACGATCCGAACACTAGGCTGCAGACGATGTGTTAATGATGCATTTGCAATATTTAAGTAACTCCAATCTACTAGTTTTTATTCTGGGTGTTTCAAGCTAATTACACTTTCTTTTCCTCACAGTCCAAGTAGATCAGGATGACTGCTCATTCGAGATTTACAAATTTCGTATAGCTAATGTGTAGAATTACTTCATGAGCAAATCTTTACCTATTCAGATCACCATGCTTGTTCATCTTGATTTAAACAAAACGTATAGAGGCGTTACAGCAATACTTGGATTGGGGCCTATTCAACTGTCACTGTGCCTGTAACGCTGAAGCAGCAGCAGCAGCAGCGGCGTCTAGGGAGGTCAGTGACCGGCGATGGGATACCTCAGCAAATGTCAGGCTATTTATAGAAGAACATCTGAGCAGATGTGGTTCACGTACAAGGCTGGCGCCTGCCTTTCCTGGACCGCCATTTGCAAAGTGGACGTAACCTCAATTGACACATAATGTAATCAGCACATTGAAATTCAACGATGCCAACTTCGATTTTTTATTCATATAGGTGTTTCGAAGAAAATTTTATTTTGATGGCTGTTTTATATTCTTCAGTTGCACTCGTCTGAAGAATGCTATTGAAAGTTGTTAAAGCCAAATCACAGATAAATCGCAGGAAAATATAAATAGAGCAGATCCTAATAGGGATTCCTGATAGGGAATAAGAACACATGGGAAATGTGGAAACTCAGTTAAGATTAAATCTTATGTCAACTTCATTTCCCGACGTCTCGTTTGAAATTAAACTATCTCCTTGATCTAACTCACTGAAGTTCCTACTTCCATCAATTAATTAGTCGACTTGGTTTCCCGCGTCTAGGGAACTTGACGGTTCATCCCGTGTTAGTCACTGCGACTAATCACCTGTTTGTAGCAGTGGTCAGTGCGGTCAGCTGTGAACCGCATCACTTCTTGCCGCAGCGTTGAACACTCTCCTCTGACCGCAGCCGCTCGTTTTTGCCACTCGATGTAGTTTTTTGTGACAACATTAAGTGTACTTCCTGCGGCATTCTGGTATATTGTTTCACACTTTATGGCAGTTTAAATTCAACATAAGTTGTTACACGCTTGTACTATTTGTCTGATTGCTGCGTGACGTGTGACCAGAGCATACGACCTCTTTGGAGAGTAGTTCCAAAACAGTCCTGCAGCTAAACTACTACTATAAAAATTAGAAAACTAGAACTAGAACTTAGAAAGTTATAAAGCTTAGTCTAGGATACCTTATTCCTTACAGTTTTCTACTAATAGAAATAAACTAAGAAACACGATCCTTAGAATTTTGGTGATAAGCTGTAATAAGGTTCACTTAAAAGAAGATAACTGGAAAATTGTATTCGTCTAATCTTGATTTGCAAATAAATATTTATCAATACTTGGTTAGGCTGGGCTAACACCAGTGCATTATACAGTTCAAAATTTGGTTCTCTTGAAGGACTTATTATCAAATATTATGTTAACGATTATTAAAAGTTATTATAAGCATAAGAATAGCCTAACGGTGTTCTGAATAAGATTTAGCTGAAGTCCAGTCATTCTAGTTAACAAAATAGCCACGAGAAGACTGCAAGTATTTCATGTGCACCTGTTTCACCATGTTCCACCCCCTGTTTTTAGTATATTATCTTTTTCATCTATTCCAAATATTTTTCGTTTCTATCCCACTAAATATTGTTTGATCCGCAGGACTGTATGGGACGCTGTTCAGGCGCAACAAGGAGGCCGCCTTCAGTAACTACAGACTCTGGGAGTCCGCAGGATTCGTCGTGGCATACGCCTACTCCAACCACCTGTGTGCCAGGATGAAGCTGTATGTCATGTTCGTCGTGCTATGCTGCGGCATGGTCGGCTACCTCATCGTCGAGCTCCTGCACAAGAAGAAGAAGCAGCGACAGAAGAAGTTGGCTGAGGACCCGAAGGCGGCTGAGGTCGCAGCGCAGGAGGCGAAGGCAAACAACGTCGTGGAGGAAACGGACGACGAGAAAGACGACATCGACGACGAAATCATCATCACACATCTATAGACACGCGTCTGCCCATAGCGGCTTGTACATATAACAAGAGTATTTGTAACGAATTATACAATAGCCTTCGGGTTGTGTAAATAAACAAATGGTAAATACTCGACCGTGTGAAAGCGGCAGCGCCAAGAACGCAATCAAAAAGCAACAGCGATTGTAAGATTTTTCAATCTTATTTTAACTAAATGCGGTTTTTGAAATATTTGAAATTAAAGTATTTGCAGTGCTGTGATCGACTAATGCGAATATTTATTATTTATTGACAAATTTGTTTGTAGATTTTATTGTTTGACCTTCACACTTTCCGACTTAATGTTTGTACGTTTAAATTCATTGATTTTTACATACGTAATTGAATAACATGCTAGACATGTACAACAGGAGCGAACAATTTTTTTAAAAGCAACTATAATAACTATACATAATAATGCAATCCAAACTTATTCATTTCCATTGTGACCTGTACATAGTATTCTTTCACAGAGTGCCACTTCGTATGTGTAATTAATTAAACAGTATTATTATTGTTTATGGATCTGAACCAACCGTGAATGTAATATGTTGTTTTACTTATTTCAAAATGGTTTCGAATCTCACGGTAGTTACAAGCTTTAGGTATAGATGGTCTATTGCAGTTGCAGTGCTTGAAGTAATTAACTAATTGCCAGTGATAACATTTGTGTCCTATTTATCATTGTTGAATATATAAAGAAACAACCCTCACTAAGATATACATTCCTCCAAAGTGCTGTAACGGCAACTTGGTTAGATATGCAATCCTGTCCCAGTACTTATGTCACATTCGCCATCTTGAAATTATCTTAGTTAATTTAAATCACAGAACAATAATGTACAGCATTCATCGTTAGGTTATATTTTAGAGGTAGAGTTTAGTGTTCGTTGTTATTGTCGCCTTATTTTTATTCCCAGATAAATACAACTATAGAGAGTGTACAGTAGTTCCGCGCTAAGTTATTTGTACATAAGTTAAGTTAGTGCTCAAGATAGGAACTGCCCTACCAAAGTTCCCGACTTTACTCAACAATCTCTGTGATTTATATTATTGTTGTTGTTGATAACGATAGAAGGACAAGAGCAGATCGGTGCCTTGCGTTGTTGGAGATTGTAAAGTCGTTACTTCAGTAAACTTTTAATTGTTCTTAATAAATCTCAATTTTAATTACTTTGTGTACTTCCTTTTTCCTGTTACATCATGTTGTCTGGTAAGTGAAATTTCACTAATTTATTGTCAGCCCAAAATTTGAACCATACATTTTAAACTAGATGTTTGTATTGCAAATGCATTCGTAATGTCCACTTTCAACCCACTAAAATTCAGTTCAAGATAATGGGATGCAGATTTGCGTTTTTGTTTAGCTATGTTTTAAAGTTTTGTTTTTTAATTGATCAAATTATCTGTTTCTATATACAATTCTGTAAATTGTAATTCCACGGGTTGTAATTATGTTCTGTAATTCCATTACCAATAATATGAGTTAGAACCTCTTGAATGTGTTATGCGTATATAGGAAATACTTTAATTAATGAAATAACACCTAATTCACAAAAACAAAAGTTGCTATGTTTAACTGGGATTGTTGTTTGCGTTCTTAATTTCTTATTTTTTTAGAGTGAGTAAGTATAAATAATTTATATTTTTTTTCAACCCTCCTATACATAGCATATTTTGTATCTAATTAAATTGTGTACTCCTCGAATTAATCGTTTTCAACTATAATAAGCAATAAAATCCAGTATTTAGTATGAGATTGGCTACTAATCTTATAATGAATAAGACGGAAACCACGATTTATCTATCTTTTCTGGTTTAAAGAAGAGTGTCTGTCTGTCTGAGTGTGTGTGTGTCTAAGCTAAACTCAAAAACTACTAAACCGACTGGGCTCAAATTGGACAAAAAAATCTACTGCTCCGAGGATATATAGAACTATTCCCGATCGATATTGACTTAGGACTCTGCCCCGTGGCCTTTCAAAGTTCCGAGGTGAGAGATTTAAAAGTAAATATTGATTAGTCTCCATGGCAACAAAGTACAATCTCACAAAGTTTAATGTAAACAAGCAAAACTGTCAATAATGAATTGATTCCGCCCAGCTGATTCAAACCTATTAAACACAGTGCTGCATGAATATTATAAAAAGGGGCAGAATTACCTGTTAATGAGGTTAATGGGTTGTGTTGCTAGCCTAGTGGTTAGCGTCTCGGACTTCGGTGCGGGAGGGACGGGTTCAATCCCCGGCACATCCACCAAACATTTATTCTCTCGTGACTCTCTTGTGAAATGCCAATGGCGTAGAAAGAAAAAAAAAGAATTCGTTTTCTTAAAACTTCTGTAACTGAAAGAAAATATTCAATCTGTTGTAGAAAATGCATTCCCAGACTTATCAACAAATTTCAAAGATCCAGAGTAGCTTTGCGAACGTGCAATTATGGCCCTAAAAAGACAATGTTAACAAGCTAAATCAACAAATTCAATTTAAATTGTCGGGAGAGTTAGTAGAATCATTGACTATATAATGGTAGAATATAGATCAATTAATTGACACAGTAATGGATGTGGAGCAAGCTGTCAACCGTCCCATCGAATTTCTAAACCACCAGAACCACTAGGAATGCCTCCATCCTCCAATAATACGGTGTGGATCATATACATAAACAAATGACGTTTTTGGCCGGAAAATAATCATAATTTAACATTGCTTAAATGAAACTGCAAAAACATATGTTAATGCTATTAGCATAGGATTCTGGCCAACAACGTCATTTGTTTATGTTTATGATCCATACCGGGCTTTATTCTAGTGTTCGTGAATACTGTTGCTACTGTTGCGTAAATCCACCCAAGCTGTGCAACGGAACCAAACTGACGCTTTGAAAAAATGACACCAAACTTGATCTAAGCAACAATCATCAGTGGTAAGTTCAAAGGAAGATAGTCTTAATCCCAGGAATACCGATTATTCATCCGAAGTACCCTTTGAAGTCAAGCGACTCCAATTTACTTTGTGTCTTGCTTTCGCAATCATCATTATAAGACACAAGGGCATCCCTTGTGGAAATAATATTAAGATTCTATAATCATTGCCGTATCAGCATAGGCTCTTATCCTGAGTTTAATGAGAATTATTTTTTTAGATAAATTTGTTATGAACGTTAATAAAATACCCCTTCCGCAGCAAACCTGCAGACTGAGCGATTTCCATTTGCCTGATTATAATTTCACTAAAATACTTTAGGAAATTACACTATTGACATATTTGGAACTTGTGATAGCTTTTCGTCTACAGTACAAACCATTCAACATGTTATTTGACTATACATTAAAATGTATCATTGATTTTGTATCCCATGTAGCCTAAATAAGTGTTCAAAGTCTGAGTTAACAAAAACGTACTATTATCAAGTTTAATAATACAGTTAAATTTCGTTTCTAAATTAAATGGTAGGTGTGAAATCATTTTTAAGTCATTTTCAAAGAACCAAAATTGTCTCTTTTGCATACTGACCCCGTTGCAAGGCACGGGTATAGCTGCTAGTTTAACATAAATTGCACTTCACATTAACTTTTTTCACAATTTTAGAGAAAAGGAGTTGTGTTTTTCTACAACCCTGCTTTAATTTTACTTTGGAGAGTATTCAAAAAATCTAAGGAGTACGTAATTCACTTTTGCTTATAAAATCAATGAAATGTCTGTAACTATGTTTCATTACCACGAATTCCTTATTTACATTGATTAAATTTGTGTCCTGAATAACAATAATAGGAGTTTGCTTTCCAACAAAGTGTAATTAAAGTTTTCCATTATTTTATTTTTTCCTTGATTTTTACATAATAAGCTGCAGGTAAAATGCCTGACAAAACGTCTGTATTTAGGGTAACACATATCAACTTGATGTGAAATAAATAGGTACATGTTTTTTTGTTTGTTTTTTTTTATTACTAGTACCCTATGTTGTACCTCGGATTCACCTTGATTGAAAAACTAGAGCTCGTGTAGAAAAGAGTCACTCTGGCCCTAGTGATGAAATATAGGCCTACTATTTTGAATTAAATAAGAACAATAAAGCTATTTTTCATTATTCATCATTCATTTGACTCATTTAACAGGACAAACACAGATGACCTAATATATACTGTTATACAGTGGCGGTTCTAGGACCTTGTCAAGGGGAGGGGGGGGTTTGGGGGGTGTGGAGCACCCCACAATAAAGCAGGGGGGTCCGGGGAAAATTTGGAATTTTCAAAGCCGTCTGGTGACTTTCTAAAGCCATTTTTAACACCTAGAAGCGTGCCCAATTGTCCATAAACTCCCATTTCACCTATTGTTTGTCATGAGCAAATAGACATTATAAAAATTAAACTATGACGATTGCATTCATGAATTTCAAAACATACTGTAGACTACGGCCATATCCTCCTAAAAGCCGCTGGGTGACTTTCTATAGCCAGTTTTAACGTCTAGAACTGTGTGCAAAACCTCCCATTTTCCCATTTATTTGTCATGAATAAGTAGACATTTTTAAAACTAACTATGACGATTGCATTCATAAATCTCAAAACATATTGTAGGCTACGGCCATATCCCCCTAAGAGTTGTTTACTAACTTCTAAAGTCATTATTAATGTCTATATCTGTACAAAAGCCTCCCATTTTTCACCCGTTTGTCTTTGTCAAGAGCAAGTAGACATTTAAAAAATCAAACTATGACGAATTTCATGAATTTCAAAACAGGCCTACTGTAGATTAATAAAGTCATATCTCCTAAAAGCCGTTTGGTGACTTTATAAAGCCATTTCTAACGTCTAGAACTGTGCCATAGACTTAACTCGCTGAGTATCGAATTCAACCGACGGTGGAGTGAGAAAATAAATGACCAGAGATCATCAGAGATTAAAGAGCTGATTATTTGAATTTGAATTGATGCTAGCAGTTATTGTGAATCCTAATTGAAAGCTCTGAGATTGGCCTTGGAGGACCGGTTTTTATGACAGACTAGGGGACGATGGCCGCGGTTTTTGTTGTTGGTGTGTTGTTGTTGTTCAATGCTGCCAATAGTAATTTACGTGTCAAATGTTGTATGTTGCCAACCTGCTAACGTTGGTTGTTGCCTACCTGTTGTCAATTGTCGGTAGTTTGTTGTTACTGTAGTTGCTAATAGTGTGCATTCTATTATTTTAACTACATGTTGTCCTTGCTTGTCACTCTGTTGTTTTTTCTAATCTTTTGACCCTAACAGTAGTCTATGTGATGTTTTTAGCGAATTTCCCTATAGGGAAGTAGCTATTACCGTAGGTGGCACGATAAGACCTAGACCCGGGACCGATTTACTTTTTCATTTTGATGTCCCCAGAGGCCAAAAACACCATTCGTTCAAATTTTTATATATATATATATATATAGACTTATATATATATACGTCCGTGAACGCGATAACTTGAGTAATTTTTGTCCGATTTTGATGAAATTTGGTTTAAAGGTGTAAAGCGGGATAAACTTGAATGAGTTCGCGAACCAGCACGATCGGACCATGGGAACGAGGCTTTACGGGGGGTTTTATGGGGTAAAAATTGGTTTTTCTCACTTTTGACCCTCAAAACACAAAATATCCCGATTTCTCTTTAGACCTTTTTAAAGAGCTTAAAAAAACAAATAATTTAGTATATAAAAGTATATTTGTTTGATTATTAGTAACGGAGAAAATTAAAAAAAATGTAAATTTAAAATTCCCATGTTATTCTTATGGAGAAATTGTCAAATGTTGTAGTTTGCTTGTTTATGGATATATTTTGATCAAACTTGGCAAATTTATTTATTTTGTACTAAGCTATCAACATTTTACTCAAAAACACACTTTATTAGTTTCCTTGTAGCAGCAAACCTAGGTACTCGTTAATCCTAATGTTATTAAAATATATTTAACTGAAAATCAATTCAGACAAATGGAAATTCGCTTAGTCGGCAGGTTTGCTGCGGCGGGGGTATTAACTAACTGTTCATGTTATTTCTTCCCTTTTGTATGTTCCCAGTTTGTTGTGTTTTGTTGTCCCCCACTGTGTTGAACCAACAACTTGAATCATTCCAAACTGAAATGGCAACTTATTGAAAACTGTAGCACCTCTGCCCGTGCTTCGTAACGAGTAGTAGGTCTCTAAATGCAATCTTTATAACACTTAATCTCAATAACGGCTGAACATATTTTAGCCAAACATATCAAGGTTTGTTTTGTCAAATGTTAGGATGGTTTATACGTGACCAATTTAAAATTTTGATAATGCCTATATCATTTTAAAGTAACTCAAAGTTTTTAAATTTTAACACTAGAGTTATGGGTTGCCATGATGGTTACAAAATAACGACGTAACTTTAAACAAAACAAAGCATCATAGCATATTATGTTAAAATCAAGCCACGACATAAACACGGTACTGTACAAAGGGGAAAAAATCTGATAAAGACAACTGATCAAACCACAGAGAAAGTCTTAGGTTTACGTCGTTTTTTATGTCGCAATTTGGAAACGTCCACTGATTGAATAGGTACAGTCATAGATAAGACATACTCCTCTAGATACATTAACAGATTTGATTTACGTAGCTAAATAAGGTTATAACAAATAACATTTTATCTTAACCAATTCGTCGGTGAATCACTCCTGGGTCCATCCACAGCCACCTCTAGGTGGCTCCATCTCATAAATCGCAAACTTAAACCTGTCCACGACGTAGGAAGTGGTGAAGGAAGTAGTAAAGGCGAGAAGTGCGGATTGTGAGAAACGTTTAATGGCGTGGCAGTTAGATTGTATTTAAAATACTAAAATGCTAAGGGAAGGGGGGAAACAATTCCACGACGTAGGAAGTTGTGAAGGAAGTAGTAAAGGCTGGCAATGCGGAGTGTGGGAACCGTTTGATTCAGTTACATTAATGTATCTGAAATTCTAAAATGTTATGGGAAGTGAGGGAAACAGGCCCAAGACGTAGGAAGTGGTGAAGGAAATAGTAAAGGCGAACAGTACGGAGTGTGGGAACCGTCTGTGGCAGTTATATTAATCAATCTGCACTCTTAAAATGCTATGGGAAGGGAGGGAAACAGGTCTGTGGTGAAGGGAGTAGTAAAGGCTTGCAGTGCAGAGTGTGGGAACGCTTTTGGGCAGTTAAATTTATGTATAAAAAAATAAAATGCTATTGGATGGGAGGGAAACGGGTCCACGACGTAGGAAGTGGTGATTGAAGTAGTAAAGGCTAGAAGTGCGGAATGTGGGAACGCTTTATGGGCTTATGGCAGTTAGAGTATCTAAAATACTAAAATGCTATATGGGAAGGAAGAGAAACAGGTAAACGACGTAGGAAGTGGTGAAGGAAGGAAGTAGTAAAGGCCAGCAGTGCGGTGTGTGTGAACCGTCTGTGGCAGTTAGATTAATGTATCTACAATCTTAAAACGCTGGGAATGGAGGGAAACAGGTTCACGACGTAGGAAGTGTTGAAGGAAGTAGTAAAGGAAAGCAGTGCAGAGTGTGGGAACATTTGTATTTTGTATTATATCTATAAACTTTTTTAAATTTATTGCTTTATTAAAAATCATTAAGCATGATTGCTCCGCTCAACTGGCTTTCACTGCTATGAAAGCAATCGAAGTGCATAATTACATATAGTAATCAATTATTTTCTTTTCACTTTCCGTGGTGGTCACATTGTTCATGTTCAATTTTTTTTTCTTCTTCAGCTCTTCTGCCTGTCTTGTTAAGGTCGGCTGCGGTCAATAGAAGGATTTAACTATTCTCTGATTAAATTTTCTAACCTTCCTCTAATTTTAAAGAAAATGAGTGCCTGGAGAGCAGCAGGATTGAAGTAAGTACCGTTATATATATTTTTAGTTCTCTAACTTTCGTAGTTTATCAAAGGAAAAGCTTAACAACTTAGAGGAACATGCCTGGTTGCTTCGTTGCTTGGGGTTGACTGGTTCAATCTTTAGGATTAGCCTAGATGCAATTTTGTAGTATCCTTTACAAATCACAATATAAAGTAGCAACCAAATTCAAATACCCTAACCCTTCTCATTATTCCTGACAGTTAAGCCTAGTTTGATACCTTTTAGTTGACCTTAGGACCTAGGACCTACCGCCCTTAAACAAGTTACAACTTGATATTAGCTAGCCCAAGGTCCAGACCATCCTTACACCCTGTTTACATTGAGGGTGTTGGACACCGCGTTTGTCAATTACTTAGGTTTCCCATTACTTAGGAATTAATGGGATCATTCACATGCAAACACACACTTTGAACCGTCGCCAAAAAGTGGCACTTGTAGGCCTAGTTTTCACATTAACCGCTAGGCTATGTTTACAGAGCGCTTCTAGTTACAAGGGATCTAATGGGAGCGTTACACATGTGAGCGTTGGAATGCGCGTTTTGGATCAGGGGGGCAGTAGATTTATGGTTTATGGTGTGTTACCTATGTATTTAGGCGTAATTTACTTCTATACACAATAAACTTAACCTCATGATAATTACGAGGCTCTTTTCTGGTGAAAACCAAATCTTAACACGTTCAGTGCTGACTACATCAATTGATGTAGTCTCGCTACAAGCGCTCTTAACGGCCTTCATCAATTGATGTAGTTGCGCAGTTCCCACTACATTAGTTCATTATGAGCTCAGCCATTGCCGGGGAACGTAAAAATCTATGCTAGCCTGTAGCTTAGAATGTGAGCTTTATTATGGTGTAGGTTGGTACTAAAATTTCCTGTAAAATCCCGTCTGACAATGTTTTTTTTCCCGGTATCGGGGATTTTCTCTCTTCAAGCCATATTACAAGGCCACTGACTACTGATCCAGGCAGTGCTGCTACCTTTGGGTGTTTTAGGGAACTACGTCCAATCTCGGGGTAACGTAGTACAATCACCGCTGCTCTTTTGTTATTCGTCAGATTGAAATATTTGAATTCCAATTGTGTTTGCTGTTATCGTGCCACGCCGGGGCCTCGCCGCCATTGGCGAGCGCCTGTTGGAATGCCTACCGCACTGAACGTGTTAACAATGTTCTCATAATGTGTTATACAGACCTGAACTTCCGTTAAATTGAGAAATTTAACATACAAGTACAGTGCTCTTGGGGAATTTCCCCTGACATAGGTACCCGGGGCCACTTTACTTTTGCATTTTGATATAGGTACGCAGAGACCAAAAATATTATTCATGATTTTTTTATAGGCCTACATATATGTATACACGTGTGATGTGTGTCACGCCTGAAAACATGACGGACACGAACAAAAGCAATTGTGGTTTGATTTTGATAACATTTGGCATTTGGCACTCATAGTATGCACAAACCAGCTTCTTTGTCTTAATTGCCTTGCCTTGTATCCAAGATATAGTTCCATAGTCGCTCTGGTTTAGTTTCACTGGTTCAACTAACCGCTATTATGTCTACCGCTGTTATGTATAGGCCTAAGGTTTCACATTTTGCTAACGCCCTCATGTGAACAAGCTGTTAGAAAGCTACTAAGTTAATTCACCTAGGTACTCTGATCTTAAGCTAAATAAGTTACATCTCTGCAATGTTGTACTTTAATGCCAGCTGCACACCAAATTTGAGACTTAAATGCTTAAAATTTTTAATCATCATGTAGGCTAGATGACTCTTCAACCAGCTTATTGTATCATTAAGGATGATGTACGGTACACCATTTATAACTAAGGGCCTACTAAAAAAAAATAAATGTTTGGTAGGCCTAACTATTCCGTATAGCTACCTGCAATGATAAAAATATCTACTTATAGTTTTTTGCACACTGAATCCAAAAATGCAACCAATTTTTGTCAGAGAGATTCCTAAGTGGCTGTAAGACTACGGTTACGAATCTAAAATTCATTGAGAAAAAGCTGGAGGAGCACTGAGGAGAGCAAACAGTTGTTTATACTCGACTTAATGCACATGAAATTTAGGCATAAGGTAGATCAGATTCGTGACTGTAGGGCCTATTAAGTGTTTAAGTTTAGGAAGGTCTTTTTAGGTTATATAATGACCCGACTTATAATTTATGTTACCACCAGACTGTTGGTGTTTGAGGTAGGCCTAAAGTGGTAGTAGTGCACAGTAGCTTGCTGCACCGTCGTCACTAAGGCCCGCCGCTCATTGAAGCGAGGCAGGGTGCAGGCGAAGCACAGATACACGTGTTTAAATGGAGCACTGCACATTGAGCAGAGGTGCAGCCTCTGTCAGGCCTCTGCGGCGTTGTAGTTGGAATACAGTTTTCCTGCACCTCGCTCGTGCCTTTGTTGGTTTTCTAGGGTTTTGTGAGTGAAAGATATGGTAATGGAGCATTTTATTCAGATGGCTATAGGTTTTTGAGCATCGCATTCTTTTTTGCTTTGCCACTTTTCATAAAATTATGGATAACATCAAACTGTTGTTTGTTTACACGTAAATATTCTCTAAAAGACCGGTCTGGCAGTTCACTAGTTAAAACATACTCTCCATGTATTGATTTTTTTATGTAATCACATTTCCAAAAACATTATTAGGTTTTTCAGATAGCGAATTGAGTCAAACTAAATTATTAAACTCACAATCATCAAAACAAGCATCCTCTATTCGCAAAAGTAGGACCGAAGCTAGGAAACCTCTGTCCCGCCTCGCTTCAGTGTGCGGTGAAACAAAAAAGTCTTCGCTCCCGCCTGCACCTCGCCTCGCTCCAATGTGCGGCGGGCCTAAAGGTGTTTTGAATATTGTAATTTTTGGTCTGGTGCACTGACGTCACCATGCGTTCTGGCAAATGTATTTTCCCTTAACGGAAAAATACATTGTACATAGTAATTTACTATTTATTATTGATTACGCTTTAGAAAACCTTATTTCATTGTTTGACATGTGGTACTACCTACTAATTTTGTGTACATTTAATACTAGAGGTTGTCCAGTGGTTGAAAACTCGACCAAAAATATGTACGGTAATGTACAGACTTCTATTTTCACCCTACGCTATGAATAAAACATGTGATTGGAATTTCTTCCATTTGTTTTTATTTTCTGTTTATTTAGCTTTAGCCTATCGTTGTTATTTCGTCACCAGCATGGCAACCCATAAGGTTAATTTAAATTTATTTTTACTTTTAACTCATTTTTTGTGCTTATTTTTGAGCCTTTTTAATTTATGAAGGGATTTTGCACTTCTAGAGGAAAATGTCTTACCAACAGTATGCGTAGATTTTTCCTGCGATGCACACAACCTGAGACAAAAGGTTTTAAAGAAACATGCTTGTCTATTAATATATAGAATAATGGTCGAAAACTCAACAAACAATATGTAGGCTAATGAAGACACATTGGCTATTGGATACTGAAATAGACATACCAGGTCGTTATATATAGACAATAGATTTCATTATGTATAGACATAATGGTCTATATGGACCAGGTGTCGCCATTTTTATAAATGCATGTCTAACATTCTATTTTCTACCTTATTTTTTTGCTGAAAAAGTTGATGGGTCATAACAATTTTAACCTAGTAGAAGTTTTTTGAATTGGTAATACACAAATTAATAAACAAATGAACAGCTGCTTTCAATTATTCCATAAGGTTAACATGGCGACTTTGAGGGCCGCTGGGACCCTTACCATACATTAAAGCTCATTAGGGTTAGCAAAACTTTGGATTGAGCTCTTTGATACCAAAAACGTCAAAATCAGTGAAAACCCTTGGAGGTGTTCCCTTTCCAATTTAATAATATATCTAGAATATAGATATAGATTTCTTCCATTTTGTATCTGTACAAACTCACTGTAGTGAGTCGGTGGCTCAGTCGGTAGCGTCGCGGACTTCGGGCCCAAGGCAGCAGCGATGTCGTAGGTTCGGATCCTGGTCACTGCCGAAAACATTTTATCAGTACAGTTCACCTTTGTACTGTACCGGCTCACTCCTTGCTTTGCTGTTAACGTTCCACGCACGGGCGGTTAGTCTATGTGGACAGGCAAATGGAAGGTTAAAAGAGGCCGCCAACCTCTATTAAAAAAAAATAAATCTTGCAGTCTTCTTGGTTGCTTAAACTTTTTAAGAGCTCAGTTTGCTGTTAGGTTAGATAAGTTCATCTCGTAGTTCCTACAAGGACTGTCCTTTTTTTAGCTACATCCAGTACTCTAACATTGCCGCCAAGCTTTTGAGGCGAGCATTAAAACCTGCTGCAAAAACTGATGCCATGAAGAGAGACGAGTCATTTGTCAGGTTCACACCTTGGAAGGACGGAAAGGCAGTCAGTAAGTATCATTGTAGCATATTAATTCTACCTCTCCAATTCACATTTCATATTGCTACTGTACTTCCAATTCACAATGTAAATTCAATGATATTCCAACAATAGTCAATATGATTTAGTTAGTGTTTTTCTGAATAAAATTTAGTTGTCACCATTTGTTTGGCAACAAATTCAACCGTTAGATTTTGTTTTTTGATAATTTCTTAGTACATTTTACTGAGAAATCTAAGGAAAATGAGTAAATTATTGTTATTGCTAATTTATATCCCTTGCCTAACAGGGTAGTTAAAAAACCATGTGGCTAACACACATCACACTGCAAGATCGCTCCAAATGATGATCTCTAACATTTCATTACCACAAAGGCTAGAAAATTCACTCCAACAATTGTCCCCCCCCCCACCCCCCGATTTTAAAAATTTGTAAAAACCTGACGTGTACCACCAGTGTTAGGTCATACACTCCATGATTCCTAAAACTCCGACATGCACAACTTTAGGACAGTGTTTGCTCCTATAGAATAGGTAAAGAATCTTTTATAACCTTGTAAAAATGGTACGCAATTTTTAGGGGTGAAGAGGTGTGATTTTCGGAAAACACCTAGGAGGGTTTTGTAGAAAACTTAAATCCTGAACATAAAAATTATTTCAAATCTTTGATAGCTCTTACTGTTTTTGAGTTATAGACGTTGTTTTATCGTTTTAGATGTCCGCCATTTTGGATTTGTGGTAGGGTCAAAATTTGAAAATGGGACTTTTGTAAATTTTCTGGATAATTTAAGTTCCGCCTAATTGTCCTAATGTACTTGGATCAACTATCCCCATTTATATTTCTATAGCCTATGTAATAACAATTACTGTAATACATATTCTCTAGATATTGTTAGTCTCTTATTTAATTTTAATGTTTTAAAATTTCAGCTGACAAGCCATAATTTGACCATCATGGATGTAAGTCAAAGGAATGGATTTTATGAGCGTTCAATAACCAGTACTAATAAAGAATTTGTGTGTAACAACTAAACCTTTAATTTACCTTTGACGAAATTTATGATATTTGACTTTAAGATTGACTAACTAATTTATATTTGCCTTCGTTTGTGGTAGTTTGATTTGTTTTTTCCTGCACGATTGAAGTTCAATATAAGTTTGATGATTTAATCCAATGTAAAATCAGCATTGTGCAGTTTTAACGTTGAAATGTTAAATGTTGAACAACTTTATTTTTATACTTAAGCATCTTACAATGAAATTTCCTCAATATGAATAATTATTAACTGTATTTTGTTTCCAGTATTTAAATTTGAGTCCTAAAAAGGTTTTGAATTTATAATATTGTCATCTACACTTTACCAAGTTCTATTACCTTGGTAAAAATTAATATTGCCACATTTTTACAGAATCCTCAACACCCGGCAGCAGCTAAGTCCAAAGCCAGCGATCTCCATCTTAGATAATCTTCATTTGTAACCATTTGTGGCAGAATTATTATTACTTTGTACCTGGGACTGTCTCAAGCAGATAGTGATATGATTCTGCAACAAAAACTGTTTGTTCTGTAATAAAATTTGTTGCCTATATGTACAGGTTTTTATTACCATCAAAATTTGATTTAATGCAGTTATATTAGGCTTACAACTACATTTGCTTATTTAGTTTAGTAGATTAAATATAATTTTATACCTAACTGTTATTTAGGAAGAAACAGTACATTTGGTTTTCTGTGGTAATAAATAGTTTATTATATAAAAGTTGTAACAAATTACAAAATATAAAATTCTTAATGTTTAAAACTTAACTTGAACAATTAAACTATAAAACAATGAGTTTAACCCTCCAAGTGTCACTTGTTTTGACCTTAATGTCAGCCTATTTTTTGCTCATTTGCAAGGTTTTATTAAAACGGATCTGAGAAGCTTAAAAACAATGTTAATTATACTGTTCTATATACCATTTTGTTTGGAAAATCATGGGCTTCAATATTATATATGGAACATTTTTTTAGGTAAAAAAAAATATAATTTGGAAATTTAAAAAAAAAAAGTTTGCGCTCAATGAAATTGTATAAATTATAGGCCTATAAATATTTGAAAATAGCCACTTTGTTCTAAATTTTATGAGGATTACAAATATATAATCATATAGGGAGGTAAGTTATCAAATAAATAAGTTATGAGTGAAAAACAGATTTCAGTACATTGCGTTTAGCTAAGAATGCATAGCCTAACCATAGCTAGGAATCTGGCTGATAATTTACATCAATATCACTACCTACTTCTTCAGGATCATCAACCAGCCCTTCAAAATCACTTAAATCTTCTTATAATGCACCACGTATATCACTACTTTTGATTTTTAACACTAAAACAATGATAAACGTAATAAAACACATCAGTCATCGGTCCGAGGATAACCAAGCTGCTTACAAATACGCACGTCATCTGTCTGCTACAATTACGATCGGCTCAGAGAACATACAGCGCTGAGACAGACCTCTGGAGAAAGCTTAAATTTTAAGGAAAAGAACGATACCTAACTCGATCCAGTTCAATCCGATTCAGTCAGTCATAGAGCCTTTGCAGTAAACAGTGTTTGTGAGTCGCTGCAGCGACGCATGACACTCGGAGGGTTAATGTGAGCAGTGGAACCTTTATCTCTTCAATAAGTTGACTAAGTTTAATCACCAGAGTGTATTCCCTAAAACTTCTATTACTTAGAATCTATGATGGAAAACTTGTCGAGGTTTTATTCTAATATAAAGTAAGTAATCTATAAAATTAAATAATAATCAAAATATAGTATAAACATTCCACCACCATGTGGACTCACTAAGTGGAGAGTCTGCTGAGTTTTTTCCCAGATAATCGGCCATCGACGGTAAAAGTTAGATGATTTGTTTAACTTTAGTTGATCACATAGGTGAGCATATCTAGTATTCTTGGCAACAGCAGTTATCATCCCCTGCGATCTTGGTAACACCGTTGATGGACCTAACCAAAGACTTTCAGTTAACCGAAGTTTTGGACGACCGGGCTTCTGATAATTGATGCTCTACTGTAGTAATGTTAAATGATGTTTCAGTAAATTAGAAAATAAATTCTGGTTGGAAATGCTACAACTCATTAGGGACAAAGTCAGAAGTATCCAACCAGTATGCTACTTAGAATAGGGTGGAATTATTAGAAAATAAACATATTTCGATACTTATGTGTAATGGTAATAAAAATGTAAATTCAGTTTTCTGATTGACTGTTTAAGAACATTGTGCAAAAGGAAAATAAGCTTAACCAGTTCAATAACACTAGTTTATTACCTGGCTATAGACAGAAATGTATTTTGCAATACCCCAATGCATCAAAATCAAAAATGCCAGAGAAGAACCTTTTAAGATTCTTTTAATAAAATTTTTAGATAGCAACAAAATAACTAAAAAATATATAGGCTATCTCTAATGTCTCTAAAGTCTCATTCTGTGCTGGTCACTATAACAATACTAACTAGGTAATACCAGTGCACGGAATTGTGCGCAATTTGCACAGCAAGATATATGCAGTGATAGCTGTTATGTTTATATATTTGGGCAAGATCATTTCTACCTCCTCCACCAGTCAGTTATTATGCTTACCATACCATAAAAAGCTAATGTTCATATCTCCATTATGTAAAAAAACGATCTATAACAACTTTTACTGCTGTCCTACCTAACTGATTTTCACAATTGAGAACTACTTCATAATTCTGTAAAATACGATGTAAGGTTAATCAATTCAACTATTACAAACAATTTTTCTCTAGTCTTGCTAGGAGGAAATACATTATTATGAAACAGGCTTAGTTAACAGATGTTAAAATATACATTCCGTCTTTGCTCTAGAATCAATAATAAGTCCTGCAGTCTGTGGTTAACCTTAAAAACCATTTCAAACTACACCCACCCACATGTTTAAATGTAAACAAAGTAATTTGAGATGGTTTCAGTGTCGATGGATAGTGCCACCGTTCCAAAAATCTAACACTTAGTTGCACTTAAGTGACGCCCTTTCTCAATATTCTGAGACATTTGCACATCAGTGTAAAAAAAAATTATTTGTCACCTCTAATGTTAAAATCTGACCAGCCGTTATCTAGTTATGACTCCGAAAAAAAAATGCTTGCGTATTAACTAGATTGAAATGCTGTGTGATAGGAGTAGATTATTTATCTTAAAAAGGGGTTCAAAATTATAAAACTTATATCAGTTGTGTATGAAAGGAAACTTAGTAGAAATATGAAATAAAAACAAACTAAGGGAGGCCAACTTTCTAAATTGATAAACCTTATCAATCTGTTCATAAATTATGAGGGCTGTCCAGAAAGTAACAGATATTTCACATCAGGGCATTAGGGTGCTCCTACACTTGGTAGGCATCCCGTAATAGGAATGTGTGTATCATATCTCTTGCCTGCAAAAGAGTATTAAAATAAGCATTGTAATTATTGTGAACCACCTAGTTGTGAGGTGCGTTCTTCATGTAAGAACTCTGATGGTGGAGTAAGATTAAAGCGATAGCATCACCCCAAGCGGCACCGATGTGAAACGTCTGTTACTTTCTGGACGGCCCTGGTTTTTACAAAACCATAAATTTTTTAATGATTTCCTAATTTTATAATTGTCTAATAAAAATTAAAATAATCTTGAAACACCTTGCCATAGCAAGTGTTCTAGGGAACACGAATTGATTGTTTCTTTCCCAACTAAGGCACAAACACAATATGTTTATACTCTATTGGTTTGTGTAGAATGTTAGCTGGCTATTTTCTTGGGATTGCCATCAGGTAGCAGTAGGTGACAGTCAGGATCAGTCAGTTGGGAAGGACCTGAGCCTATCTCAGTGTACATGCAATACTTGAGCATTCCTGGCTCATGTGGGGGGAAAGAGGTCTTCAGATCCTGAAACACAAACAAGGAAAGGTTACGTACCGCTAAAAATATAATTTTCAACTAAATATATACAAAAAATATATTCAATCCTTACGCCTTGGAACCACATTTTAAAAGTATTTAGGCTTTATAAATGAATAATTCTTCACTCTCGTGAGTGGGGATAACGATGTTCCCCTGATAGCGGGAGATGTTAACACATTTTACACGACTCCAGGTGGTTATCACCACCTGGAGTCGTGTAAAATGTGTTAACATCTCCCGCTATGTTACTTTGTTATCACAAAGTCCCCGTGATGGCGAAAGACGTTGACGATTTTTCCGTGATAGCAGGAGATGTTCACGAATCACGATTCAGCTGCGATCGCGGGTGGCAATAACGATGTCCCCGTAATAACAGGAAGTGTTCACAATTTTGCCTTTCTTTTCACCCTGCAACTCCTGGATGGATCCGCCACTCATCAACAGACACGATAATCAAAGATTCAGTAAGTATCAGCAAGATCATGTAAGAACAACAGAAAATCCATATTCTGTTTGACAAAATGAAGTTGTTTGCTGCTAAATATCATGAAAAAATCTAATTTAATAAATCTTTAAACTTACTAAAGATCTTAATGTATTGAGAGCTGTATGTTCAAGGTAATTTAATGACATATCTTTACAAACAGATAAGTGAAAATACAAACATTTTCAATCTTAAAAGGCATAAGTTTTGATTTTGTTCCTCATTCCGAACTAAAACTATCCAATATTAAGCCCCCCATACACGGGCGAGCATGCTCGTGACGGTGTTGGCGACGAACATGCTCGCCCGTGTGTGGGATCCGTCGCGGCGAGCATGTTGGGCTCGTCGGACTTGGCGGGCCCGAACACGAACATGCTCGCCCGTCTGTGGGGACGACCATATGTTCGAGAGCATGTTCGTCGCTGCAACTTGGGTAGAGATAGGCTAAATGATTCCATCGATGTAGCCGCTACTATGATTCCAGTTACACTCGTGGACTCATTACAAGTAACCGTTCCGATTCCAAACGATTACTTCGTTACCGCCATCACAAAGTAGCCGCAATAGACAGATTGCACTTGTAATCATCATGGTGTTGATACTCTGATGTATTCCAGTTACAGTAATAGATTTAGAATCAATGTTGAAAGAAGCTAAATAAATATTTATTTGTGTTTGTAACGCAATAAATACGAATTTAAATGAGTTTCCAAAATAGAGAGTTCATCCATTACAATTTGTATATTACATTATTACAGAAATGTGTACAATCAATTCTGTAGTAATTTGTCACAATTAAATAATTCTAAGAAAGGCTGGAGTGGAATAAGCAGAACTACGAGAAATGTTATTGCACAAAGATGGAATTTTAACCAACATTATTTTCAAACCATAGCGGATGAATTTAATCCGATAACTTAAGGCCTGGCACATACGGTCGATTTTTAGATCGGCCGATTACAAAATCGGCCAAAAATAAATCGCCCCTGATTTTGGTCTAAGAATAATGTGTATGTTGCAAAAAAACTAAATGCTGTAATTGCGGCAAAAAGACAGGAGTAGGCTAAATACACACAACTTGACTGCCACAGAGCACAAGAGAAGCCAGAATAGGCCTAGGAACCGCTACCGAGCGACGAGCATGTTCGCGAGCATGCTCGTCCGTCTCTTGGAAATGCCAAGCATGTTCACGAACATGCTTGTCCGTCTGTTGACAACGCCGAGCATGTTCGCCAACATGCTCGCCCGTGTATGGGGGGCTTTACAGTATTTTCTTTACTATTGTATGCAACACCCAACAGGAGCATAAACCTATCAGGAAATATTTAATTTAAAACGTAGCATAATTGACAACTCCTTTCACCATAACTCAATAAATAAATAAAAACTTGTGTATAAGGCCGATATTTAGTTCAAACAAAATAGTAACAAACTTTTTCCAATATAAAAAACAACAACATGACCCTTAACACCAACAAAATATTAAAAAATTAGAATGTAGGCCTACTGTACCCAATATTAGTAAAATATTTTTTTTGTCATCGAGGTAAACAGTATCTATCTATCAAAACAGATTTTTTTATTACCAAAGCTAAAAAAGTGAAATCATTCCTTGGACCTTAATCCAGTAAATAAATTATAAATATAAGATGTTATTTATTTATAGAGCATCTAAATCCCCCCACCAAAGGGTGCTTTTGTTTATGTCGACGTCAGGTGTTCTGCAGTGGCCGTTGCCAACCCCAAACCTAAATTCCCTGCGATTCCCTGACCATCTAGCCACGCTGCAACAGGCCTGATCATACTTGGTCTAAGACCATTTCCACTGAGGCGCGAGCTCCCAAGCCCGGTTTTTGATCCGCGTGCTAAAGTTAGGTTCGCCTAACACTAGCCACGTACTAGCTGGGCTCGAGCTCTCAAGCCGCCTCTAAGGCTACTTTGGAGATTACTCTACTCCATTCATTGTCGACTGCATAGTAGTAAACTTAATACAAAATGTCTTCATTTGCATTGCGTCATCGGTTTAGTAAAAATTAGGAAATGTAAATTGTTAAGACAGGACAGACGATACTACATAAAAACATTCAGCACACGTGCACAACTTGAAAACTAATGACTGAAGACGGTTAGTATTAAATATGATTATATATACATTTTCACCCAATCTGCCAAACTCAAGAATCGTCATGTTTAAATTATTCAGAACATGTTAACAGAGAAAACAACAAAAAACAGGTGTTTTAATTGTTATCGGCATCTACTGAATGAGCAAGGTGATAGTAAAGTGGGATATTGTCTCACAAATAAATAATAAACCAAAACATGTATCAGTTAAACGGTCAAGAGCATTCTTTTATTAAAGATCTTTCTGAAAATTAGTCTGGGCGGACAAGGAGCTTAACTATAATTTTTACAACATGGAACCAGCGTGGAATTGTATAATTGGTATGGTGTTCATAATTTATACCATCCTTACATTACTGTAGTTTTAGCGAATTTCCCATATAAGCTATTACCGTAGGTCTCATGGTAAGACCTGGACGCGTGACTGATTTACTTTTTTGTTACATACATCACTTTTAAACCCCTTTTTTGAGTTAAGGCGGGAGCCCAAAACGGATATTTACACTCAAACTCAAAAATCTTACCAAAAACAATGTGGGCTACTATTGTATAAGGGAGAAGGTTTATTTACCTCTGGCAATACTGCAGGTTTCATTGGAATACTGATAAATTGCTGCTTTGTTGTTGGCAACGGTGGAAACACATGTTGTATCATTGCAGCTACTAAAGGTACATCATCCTCTTGCACATACAAAACAGCATTGGGGCCTGCGTCAAAGGTGTAGGCTACCTGTGACAGTAAAACCATTACTTAACAAAGCTTTTGAGTACCGGTATTTGAAACAGTATTATAACAAATAATTTTTCTCTAAACTTGTTTGGTTACTGCACAGTAAGATTGTATATTACTAAATTTTTTTGGGAATAACTTCTGCATGTTATTTGCATTTTCTGATATTAGAATGGATTTTAACTAGTATTAGTTATTTGAAAATGATATTCACAATCAATTGGTGGTGTGCAGTGAATTAAGCTAATTAATTTGTTCAAAACAAACAGTACTGTATTTTTTAGCTCTGGGTTAGTGATAGTGACATTTAAATTTTACGATTTGTTCTGCAAAGTAAAAACTATAAGTGAATAGTTAGTTAAACAGGTAAGACCAAAATGAGATCAAATTGACGAATAATTCAGCTATACTTAAAATTCTAACCTTGGTAGTCCCGCAAGCAGCGTTGTACTCGTGGACGAAGTTGACAATGGCGTGTGAGACGTCTGACATGTACACAGCTGGGGGGTAGGTGTCCATGGCAACGGCGTGGAACTGGTTACTGTCCCTCATGGTAATCTCAGCGAACTTGTCAAAGTCCCTTACCTTGAGTGCCTGGTAATAAGCACATGAGTGGTTTTAACAACTATTAAATGCTAACTATGTAGGTAAAATGGTTTTGTTCCTAATCCTAATATACTTTCAGTGTGAAAACTAGTGTTTGATATGTTATTCACAAATTATAATTCTTAGAAAACTCTAAGGACCGAAATGAAACTAAAATCTAAAAACTAACGTGAATTATGCAAATCAACAATCTAAATTTATTGTGAGAGGAGGACACAGAGGGTTTATACAAAATGTAGGGTTTAGTTACTAATTAATGAGGAGAGGCTTTCATGTCTTGTGCTCACCCTTGTTGGTGGCGAGTGTCCATGGGAAGAAGAGGTGGGCCGGCGTCACAAGAGGAATAGGTATCACTTTATAGCACTTCACGAGGGTAAATTAAAAATAGCCTCAAAAGAGAGGGGAGTAGAGGTAGTTAGGAAGAGGAGAGTAGAGAATACGGAGACTAAAATGGCCAGAAATCGGTTAAATTACTGTATTAGAAAGCTAGAAAAGAATGTCCCGTCAGACACTACGACGAGAATGCCATTTTTTCTACCTCTTCCGCTAGGTAGCCACTGACGCCAGCAGCTTCACCAACAGAGAAAAACAAAACGCAGACCAATAACAACGCGGCGTAGAGGTTTTGACAGTTTTGCTAACCATGCAAATTTGGATTTCGCTAACCGTATTATTATCAAAATTCAAAATATGCCGGCAAAGACATAGGAAAACATTGAATTAAAACTAAAAAGCTAGTATCTGTATTTAAGGTACAGTTTAAAAATGAGTGTTAACTAAAAGATTAGTTTTGAGGCTAAGTTTGTAACATAGAACACAAGGGACTAGATTTTAAGGATTTTTTGATAGCTTTATTAAGAAATTATACATGTAAGGTTGGACCTACGTACTTCTCATGCAAGATTATCATGTTTGGTGATCTTACGAGTGAGATAGCCTCTATGTTCGCTGGTACACAGTGCTTGACTCTGTACTTCAACAGCTCACTAGTCTCTACACTTCTCTGCATTCCTCCTGTACTGCTAACCTTCTTCTTATGGTCCGATACCTGATTAACAAGCAGAATCTATTAAAATATTTCAAAAATGAATAACACCACTATACAAATTTTGTATTACATTAATAAAACGGAACCATAAGATATCATGATCTAAGTTTCATAACCCTAGCAAACCACTTCTTACAAAACATAATTACTTATGATAATTTGAGAAGAAAATCACTATCAGAAACCTAATATGTGCTTACAACAAGAATGATGACTTTTAGTGACGGCCAGTGGTCAGCCTGGTAGAGTTGACTTGCGACTGAGTCACTTCCGTTACTGTTGGAACCTCTGGACCACTGGACAAAACCACCGAGCAGGCTGCGACAGGCAGAGCCAGACCCTTGCCTGGCAATGTCAGACACGTCTCCCTCCACTCCGTACAACTTGGCTAATGTGTACACTACACAATCACACAGGGCTGGTTATAATATGTCACAGAGGTCATGAAACAAGTATTTTATACTGTCATATACTACATTGAACACAACAAAACTTTAAAACTAAACATCTTTTCACAACCTCCAACAAAGTCAGGCAAAGTCTCTGTACAAGTGCCACTAATCACTAATCAGGTTACATCCACTTTCTGTTCTTCCACCTAGACACTTCTACTGTTGTGTCTCAAATTTTCAAAGCATTTTAGGACCAACTAATAGAACGATACAAATCAAAACACAAATTGCTGTCTCATTTTGAGAAACCCAAAGAACAAACTCAGTGTTGTGAGCAACAAAATTCCATTTCAATTAAAAACCTAATCTTAAACTCTTGCGTGTAAGACCAAAGATAAACAAAGTGATTATTGGTAGGTTTTAAAATTATATTTCCTTAGTAATTTATTTATTTTATTCTAAGAAAATTTAGAAATAGGTTACCTAAACACGCGTAGCCTGCTGCCGAGGAGGCTAGTCCAGCAGCTGTAGGGAAGTTGTTCTCAGAGCAAATGTGTAATTTGCACTTATCTTCAAACTTACCTTGCTCTCTGGCACGCTCTCTGACTGTGGACAATAGTTATTTGTTTAACTAGTGAGCAAAGTGGCACTTTGCTGCACACGAGAGCAACGTTTACGCACTCGCCTGCGGCTCGTGCGGAATGATCTCGAGTGCAGCAAAGGCTTTTGCACTCGTGTTACACATTAGCCTATATTTTTCCTTCAGTCACTATAAAGCATATAAATAATTAGTCTTTCAAACACTAGGCCTATATAACACGTTTTTAGGTTCAGCTGGCAACACAAATAGGTGCCCTAGAGAAAGTAGTCCCCGGTCCGTATCACTCCGCTATTTTTTCCTCGGCAAGCAATGTGCTCCGCGACTTGAGAAAATAGTTCCGTATATTTTTGTTATTTGCAGTGGTTTACGCCTAAAAGGTATTTTCTTGTTTTTTTAAGATCTTAGGAATGTTTTAAAAACGTTTAAAAGAAAAGTCCAGAAAGTTCAGAAATAACGAAAAGAAAACATAAACTATAAACACGAAATGGCAGGTTATATCGTGGTTATAATAGTCAATCAGCTGCTCATAGTATTATTATCTTTAAGTTTTGCCAACCTATTTTCAAGTGTGCGCCAAAGTATAAACCGTACGACAGTGTATAAATCGTACGACAAAGGATAAACCGTACGGCAAAGTATAAATATGCAGCAATTATCAGCTTTCTGTACTATAAACAGTACGAGGAAGCCAACTTTGTCGGGTGACTGTAGGAAAATAATATTTTTACAAACTTATTTTGATATTACAAAATTTTTTTTATTAGCACATGATATAACATGTTTACATCTTTATTTAGTACACATTTTAAGACCAGCTGTTAGTGATTAGAATATCTTTGTTTAATAGACCAGATAAAACTAGTGTATCTGTTGCTCGAATTCGAGCAATTGCGAAGTATTACAGGTGTTATTTTAAAACACATAGCATTTATAATTTCCGATGATTTTAAAAGAGTCAACTCAAAGATTATGGAAACACTAACGATGTACATAACAGTTCGATATAATCAACATTTCTTGTAAATATCTTATCATTTTTCAATCGATGAACTTGTTTTTTAGGGTTTTCTACAAATGTTTCCTACTCATAGCCGCATTAGGTTGACGATTGTAAATAAAAAAACAATTATTTCTATTTCTTCTACTGGGTGGTGTTCTATGAATTTCCTATATTTCCATAGTTTGCAAATCGGCTCTTTCAATGATTGCTCAAGAAATTCAGCACAGTCACGGTGTTAATTCAATTTTCTTTTTAGTATATCAAATTGTCCAGGCTTTCTTGCTTTATTCGATTGTAATATTTGGAACCTAACCCAACCCAAATAGTAAATATTTCATTTTAACCAAGCCAGTAAATGTTTGTAGCACACTTTCCTTCAATTGCAATTAAAATATCAACAGCAATTAAATTATCCAGCTGATGATAATGTTAACAAATGTGTTCTTCATAAGGAAGATGGGAACGGGAACTTTAAAAGCCACTGGGGCAGAGCCCAAGGGACTTTTTCAAAAATGTAAGGGCAGTTTGCAAATCTACACAGACGAACATTTTGGTACCAATATAATATGTGGGGTTAAATCTTAAAACAAAAAGCCTTATTGTTCACAAAGTTTCATGTAGCGTATTAATAATATAGATAGATAAGGAAAAAATATCCTTAATACAAACTTAGGAATACCCAAGTGCACAGTAGTTTGGATACACCAGTAATCATAATCAAGCCTAAAATTGTACATTTTTCCACTTTTCCCCTAAGTCAAGCAGACAGGTATGTCTTTTAATGCAAATTTATATTCTAATTGTAATTGCACCAGCAAGAAGAAACCCCATAGGCAAATTCCTGCTACAAGGGAATTTTATAGATAAAAATGTTTAAATTTCCAATCATGTGAACAAAATGTTCTCTAGATATTAATAATGATTTAATAATTCAAATAAAAATAGAAAACTTACTTGCTTTTAAGCATCTTTGTATCCGAGGATGATTGAGAGGCTCTTCTCTAAAATAAATAAAAACTGCATTTTAAAACTAGGCAACACACATATTGTGACAAAAATTTACCTTAAATGTATTTACTCAAGCATAATACAGCACAAAAATAATCTGGCGATTTTTGATCTAATGTAGCTAATTTGTATACGCAAGTGTTACAAATTCTACCCAGCAGTCTACTCTAATATCATATATGATTTTGTATTTTGATCTGATTCATTTATTTTATTCTCAACCTCTTTGAGAGTAAAGCAAAATATTTGTTGATAATTGTGGTCATTCCTGAACGAGCTCTATGTTTTTGGCATCAGTATGGACTCAAATATTTTAGGAAAGGGCTTTTATTGATTCCATTTATCGCCATAAGGTGGTTCATTCACGTCTTTGGTGCTCAATCGCTCCTCAGGCATCATTATGAGCCAAGTCAACAACTGTTCCACCTGTAGTTTCCTGCCTCCTAGACACTCGTTCCATGTGTAACATGAGTTGCTCGGGTCAAAATCTCGGCAAAAATTCTGTTGGTTTGGTCAGAGTAAGAAGATGGAATACTTTGATTTAGCATTGTACACATCGTTTTCAAAGCATTCGCTGTTGATAGTTTTTTCATATCATTTTTAATTTTTGCTTGAAATAAATGTATAAGATTGCTTATAAAACAGTTGGTGAAGGAGATTAGTTTACCAAAGGTGAAAGTGACATTTTACAATCCAATGATGAGACTGGTCACAAAATCTAGTAACAGTTTCGATTTGAAAGTAAGGAGATGTTTTCATGTTACACATGTTAAGTAAGGAGATGTTAAGGGGATGTTTTCGTCAATCCTGGCCTACGCAACAGTGATATTTATGTTACTATTTTTATTTGTAAAATTGGAACAAATATATTGCATTAATTTAGCTTAATCCCAATCAGAACTAAAAGTTTTATGTTAGTTAATATTTCTCAAACCTAAATACTGTGACTATATTTTTAACTTTTTAAGATTTCAAAGGCTACTTAAATTAAGTTTGGATTAAAATTTTTAGCCTGATTTATGTTTACATTTACTATTTTGTCTTACTTTCCGTTAAGCCACAAGCGATCTGATTTGAAGTCTGGACTCTTCATTATACTAGTAGTAGTCCTCATCTAGAAAATAAATTAAGAATATTAACACTGCAAAATGTTTCAAATCAATGCTTGAACAAATTAAACTTGTTTTAAAATTTTACTTTTGAAAATAGTTGAGTTCGCACTTAAGGCCTGATATGGTGCCATTTGTTGGAATGTAGCCTAAGTTATCTAAGTCAGTAGATTAGAATCAATCAATTAAATATTTAGTACACAACACTCTCAAAATATCAAACAAGGCAATTTTAATGTTGTTCTAATAATGTAGGCTATAGTTCTTGAAAGTGGAGAATATATTCAATTCACACTAGTCAGATAGGATGCATCTGTATAACTGTGATTCATAAAGTATCAAAAAGTATTAACGAGGAAGCAATATTTCTACTTCTAAACATACATGGTCAACATGGGACATGGGTTAAAAATTGTACACAAACCTGTTTTGTAGATAGGGTTGTAGAGATAGAACTATTTAATGGGAGGATTAAGTCTTCATCTCTTTTTCCCCCTGCAAAAGGTGTCACAAATTAGAAAGTGAAAACATGTTGTAGGCTACTGTGAACATGTTGGCCAGCATCTAAATGTCGCTGCATTATTGTACTTACTGATAGCTTTTCCATGTTTTGTTTGAAACTTAAAAAGAGTATTTCAGATAAGATAGGTACCGGTACCCTAATTACATGTATGAGTGGACAGTTTAGTCGTCTAAACCCAAGTCCTTAGTTATAATTGCTCTCTCATTGTTAATTGTAGCTTGATTTACTGTATTAAAAATAGACCATCCAATTTGTTAGTTTTAAAACATCATATTTAAAATAAAAACACTTGCCTAGGACTCTTAATGAGATTCACACAGGCATGAAGAGATAAACAAAGCTGCTGGTTCATGGGCTCCAGCGGGAGAGATATTGCTCAATCTATACATGTAAAAATCATTTTTTTAAACGGTTGTCACTATTGCGGCTTCTCCGATGAAGCTTTGAAACATCGTTTCCTCTGGACATTCCAACAAGTTCAATTGTGGCTAAGAAATTACCTGCCTTCTCAGATGAATGAGTGGAAGATTGAGAAAAAGTCCCAGAGTACAGTGATTATGAAACTGTGCTGAGACTGGAGGATATTTAGAAGTATACGACAATCTTGTACACATTTGGCGCGCTCAGGGGATTTAAAATTCTTTAATTGTCTATTATTGCAGAACAACAACCAACAACAATTTAAAATTATTAAAATGAAATTAAATGAAAATCCTTCTTTATTGAGCCGACCTTAGGAGCTCACGGTCCTTTCTTGCAGTTAGACTCTGTAACTGTAATCAATGAGTTAACTAAACCTCTGATTCATTTGTGATAAATTTTTTTTTTCAACACTCTGTTTGATTTGAACATTATACGTTAAGTTTTAAGAACCAAGTACAGGAGAATACAGACAAGACGTTAAACCAACTCCTACGTTACACTGTAGCTTAACACATTCAATGCTGACAGGGTGCATATACAACTGCGATAGGGTCAGGGTACAGCTTTATAAGGATTGGTCTACTATGAGCTCTGTGTTTATCGGAGATCAACTAAACTATGTCAGCGTGAGCCTATCGTGCCAATCCCATAAGATAGGCCTACTACATTTCAGTTGCAACCATTTTCGGGCTCCCACCACTAGGCCTAGTGCCCTTTTAGCTCGAAGAGCACCATTTAATGTGAGCCTAGCTCTTGCCGCAGTTTAGGGTCGCCTTTTTGGGGCTTTTCAGCAGTGAACGTGTTAATAACCTATTTCCCCACGTCGGTTACAAGTGAAAACTCAGCCTTAGGTACACTTCCTACCTTACATAGGCCTGATTATTGCTAATTGCGGTACTTTCCTGTTAAAGGGGAACATTCATTATTATCGATGATTTTTAATCGATATATCAATATTTTTGTTTCCCTTTCAGGGCCGGATTTCCCAATAGGCCCGGTAGGCCCGGGCCTATGGGCGCAAGGTCCCAGAGGGCGCACGGCCAAGAGGAATTTTTTTATAGGCTACACCTATCTAAAAACAAAAATAAATACCTAGTCATAATTGATCAAAAAAACTTCTGAAGTTCATAAGAAGAAATTATTGTTATGAAATTTAAAATATTTTTCAGAATTACGCATCAATTTCGTTACAAAATTACTAACGAACATTGGTTATACGGGAGTAGGCTGTAGGGATGTTGACGTTGACGAGCGCCCAAGGGGTACGCATCGTAGTGTCACTGCACTGGGCACTGGGCCACTATGCTGGCTGAGGCTCGGGCTTGGCACTACCATAGATTAAACATACTCCCTTAGGGAGTATGTTTAATCTATGGCACTACTGATCAGAGTGATTAGGGGCGCATGCGTGCTTGACATTGTTACCACCCTCACTTCACAAAGCAAAAGTTAAAATATATAATACGTTGTGTTGAATATTAAAACAACGATGAATTTAAGTTTAAAATTAACGAAAAAAATATTAATCTCAGTTTGCATTAGATTTTAGAAACATTCAATACCCTCCAAAGCACCATTAATGCTGTCATTTTCTCCTCAGACCTAAGGATCGGTATGGTTGGCCGGAATATTGCTCTGTTTTGCTTTGGAAATATAACCTAGATGCAGTACGACCATAGATTAAGTATAACTCAAGTTGACTTCTTATGACATTGTTAATTCAAAATATTTTCATGTCTAGTTCATGGTGGTGATACTGGACGTTAGTTTTAACGTAATTTGGTTTCTATTATTTTAGGGTTAGTTCTAGGATGTGTGTTTTAATTTCTTGTAATATAAACGGGAAACGACCTATTGTTGATGATTAGATCGTTTTGTTTTTGATAAACTAGGTTTAAACATAGATAAAACATACTCTTTAAATAACAAGAATTGTTTTCAGCTAATTCAAAATTATGACAAATCTACTAAAGGATTATGTTTAATCTACGGTATCACGTACTGTATGGAGTTCAGGTTTTTGGGCCTGGAATTTGAATCAATGGCCATGTTTTTTCAGTAATTCTCGTTGGTTTGAGTTGTTTTGTTTCAGTCCCACGGCCACATACGTGAGCATTTATTAAAAGCATAAAATTGCTAACAGTGTTTAAGACGGCATTTTGTTAATGCTAAACAAGTCAATAAAAATAAAACTTACAATGATTCCGACGAGGAGTGGTATTCAAGCAATTAACTTAGGCCTATGGGCATAATATAGGTAGTTTTTAATAAAGGTTTGAAGGAAAGTAACTGTGACCAGACTAGGGGGCGGAAAATTATTTGGGCCTAGGGGCGCAAAAATGCTAAATCCGGCCCTGTTCCCTTTACGATCATAAAAAATTGACAACTGATCTTGTTCAGGCTAAAATCTAGTCTATTATGGATTAAAACTGTTCTAAGCTAACCTAACATAACCAACCAAACTTGCTGTACCATTTTAAAAATTCTGTTTGATTACAGAAAAGGCATGTGAGGAATATTAAACGGAATTTTTAAATGTTACCGCAAGTTTGGTTAGTTTTGTTAAGTTGGTTTGGAACAGTTTCATTTCAAATTTTTTTTTTTTTAAAGGCCTACAGACCAATATTTACTTATCTATCGTAGTTGTCAGCTGATAAGTTTTAATTCGTTAATATCAATATACGGTATCGATTGAAAATCATCGATAATAATGAATGTCCCCTTTAACAGGAAAGTACCCTAATTGCTTATAAGCCTAGTAGGAAAAACACTGATTTGGGAAGTGTTTTGTTAATCTTTGGGTTTCTCACCTGAGGCACTCCATGCTTAATGGCCAACGGGTTAGAATTTGCCCCATCAAGTGTTAAAATTTGCCTCCTGTCGGACAGATAGGAACTGAGGGTGGAAAGCACCAGACCATTCACACCATATGCTCTAAGTTTTTCGATGAGAAGGGCATGGGGGACACAGTCGAAAGCCTTGCTCAAATCTGCAAGAGCTAAAGCAGTGGATTCCTTGGCCTCAAAAGAGTCGAGCAACGTAGACACCAGCTGAGACATAGCTGTGACGGTTGATCTCCCACACCTAAAGCCATGTTGGGCATTCAAAAAAAGTGCATTATCCTCAAAGAATGCGACTAGTTGGGACTTCATGATTGTTTCCATGATCTTGGCCAGTACAGGGATAACTGATATCGGTCTGTAGCTCTTTAGATCAGCTGGATCCCCCTTCTTGAAAACAGGCACAGTTCTCGAAAGCTTCAGGACATCCGGGAAGCACCCTTCTTGTAGGCATCTATTTATCACCTGGCTTAAGGGATCAGCAATGACATCTATTACATATTTCAGAACATTTACAGACATGCCATATATGTCAAGAGACTTTTTGTTCTTGAAATGTTTCACAAGCCCAATGATCTCACTGGGGCTAACCGAAGTCCAACTTACAAATTCTATGGCATTTTTTCTTAGGGTATGGACTGGCAGACATACATCATCCAATGACAAACCAGTATCAGGTATGGACTCAACAATGTCATCAACTTGGCTCAAAAGGAAGCGATTGAAGTCGTCCGGACTCGCCTTTACTTTAGGTTTAGTGGTAGATTTCCTAGATGCTGCAACATGGTTTACCAAATTCCAAGCAGCTTTGCATTGGTTACTGGAGGATTTAATCGCAAGAATATTAGCATTCTTTTTTGCAAGGTCAACTTCATATCTGTATTGCCTTTTAGCCCTAAGATAAGAATCATAAAACCTAAGTCTTACCTCTTCACCCATACTAGCTTTACAACGATCATTTAGTGCCAGCACTATATTCCTAAGTAGTTGTAGCCTAGGTGTGTACCAACCCTTATTTAGAGAGGGGGATTTCGGATTTCGTTGTTTAGACGATGCATGTCTGCACAGGGACATACTAGTACTTCTAGTAGGGAAGAACTGATCATATACTTCTTGAATTTTATTGAAGAAATCATTGAATGTAATTTCAGAACTAGATAGTCCTACACAGTTGTTTAATATTTCAGTCCAATTTACATTCATGAGGGCAGCTCTAAATAAGGGTAGGCTCTCATCCTTAATAGTTCTAATAGTTCTAGAGTAGTTTACATGCCAAGGTAAATTTTGAGAAGTCGTACTCACCAGGTTCCTATGTAGGTCCATTACCACAGCATCATGGTCAGCTATGACAGGGTTTGTCACGTACACTTTGTAGTCCCAAGAATCTAGAGACGTTGCAATGGTGTCCAGGCAGTACTTCCCCCGGGTAGGTGCACGGTTTGTTATATACAGTCCATAGGTATGAAGAAGACACATAAATATATTTGAAGGGTTATCTTCAGTGTTAAGGTGGAGGTTCACATCACCCCCCAAAACTATCGGCAGGCCCAGTTGATTTAGGCTAGCTAAACATCTGTCTAAAGAGCGAAAGAAGATTTCCAAGTTTCCATCGGGAGAGCGGTATAACACCAGAACAATCACAGATAGCTCAGTCAGCCTAACAGCAGAAAGTTCGATGTCCAGTTCACAGCAGAAGGCCCTTACATCCAAGACATCAAATGCTAGGTCAGGGTTCAGGTATATTGATACTCCTCCACTCCTATGGTCCGAGCGAAAATAACCAGCAGCCAATTTCAAGTGTCCAATTAAGCTGTAGTAGTCACTCTCTTGGCTCTCCAGATGATGTTCACCAAGGCACAAGATGTCGGGGTACACATTTTCCACAAAAAGGGAGACAAGGTTGATCTTTGTCCTAAGACACTGGACATTAACATAAACTAATTTAAAACTATCTTTGTCTGTAGGCCTAGGCTGTGGAGATATAATGCAAGGCCCTTTTGGTACTACATCTTCTGCAGCCTTCGTTACTAACTCGGGACCTTGCTCCTGCCTCTTCTGAATAAAAAACGTTTCAAAACTGCATCCTTAGGCCATACTGAACTATTGAAAAGTTTGTCTTTCTTCTCAAAATCAACACCAACTTTAAAGCTTGCGTTTGAGCCTTTACTTTCTAGCCTCTCTACCGTGGCAGTCACATCCGCAAAAGAGTCTGAGATATATTTCTTAACTGCTTCTTCAGTTGTATCACTGTGTAGACGTCCTAGGTAGAGCCAAGCCTTCTTTTCGCCAGCTACTAGGCCAGCAGTATCCTTCGTACCAATGACAAAGCTCGACTTGCGAGACTTAAACTTGCCCGGGTGATTTTTCTGCTAAGACGCCTAAAACCCTTGCTGTCCAAGAAGCACTTAATCGAGGTATACCATGCACTCTTTCACACCCACATTGTGTATGGCCTCTTGTTGTGGGGACATTCTTCTGGATGTCAAAACATTCTTCTCCTGCAGAAAAAAACTGTAAGGCTGATCGATTCTGCTGAGTACCTAGAACATAGTAGGCCTATTTTCAGCAAACTGGGTATACTGACTATTTATAGTCAGTATATCTTGCTCAGTTTGACCTACATTAAAGAGAACAACTTGTCCCTTACGAAACGAGCAGAACATCACTCCTACAACACCAGAGGTAAAGACCAACTCGATGTGCCATTCTGTAGGCTAAGTAAGAAGAAAAACTGTTTCCCGATACTAGCAATGAAACTATATAATGCATTGCCAGCTAGTACCAAGGATCTTGATCCCCATAAGTTTAAGCGAACAATTGAAAAATGGCTGAAAAAAACACCTCTCTTCTCTATTGAAGAATTTTTTGAAGAGGTCAAAAAACCATAAATCCTGCCGCCAATCTGTAAATATTCAAACAGTAAATTCAAGTTTAAGTTTTTATTTTTCTTTGTGACGATGGACTGCATAGTTCTAAATATTAGTTTAGTTAGTATCGACTCAATCTATCCAGCAACTGCTGGTCAAAGATGAAGAAAAGAAGTATGAAGTATGAAGTAAGTATGAAGTTATCAGTACAGTAGGCCTACTTTAAGAAGTTGCAGAGAAAGATAAGGGTACACTTCCATATCTGTTGGCACAAACAACCGAATGAGTAATATTGATTATTCGATTGTTTAATTCGATATATTGTTTGGTTAGTTAGGTTAGGTTAACCTTACCTAACTAACCAAACGATATATACCAAACAAAAATCGATATATCGATCGATATTTTCATTCGGTTGTTTGTGCCAAACAGATATGGAAGTGTACCCGCACAAACAACCGAATGAAAAATTTGTTATATCGTTTGGTTAGTTAGGTAAGGTTAACCTAACCTTGCTTATCAAACGATATATCGAATTAAACAATCGAATAACAATATTACTCATTCGGTTGTTTGTGCCAACAGATATAGAAGTGTACCCGAAGATAGTGAGGAATAGGCAAGATGATTTTGATTCTTTCATTTAATCATGTAAAATATGCACATATATCGATAAAGATAGGCCTTACTGGTGATTGAACATGACGTGTCATTGTATACTTACAGTACTTGATTACAGCTATATTAACTGGAGCAATACAGGTCACAATAATTGTCATTATGTTGATATAGCTTATAGGCTAGGCCCAATTACTTTTAACTAGTAAGTACTGCCGGAAGACAAATTTTTGACCGGGAATCAGTTTTTCGCTGGTGTAGATAATTTGTAGGAGGTAGGCACAATAACAAGACACAAATCTTAAAATAAACAATATAACAAAGGTGAAATTAACATTTCGATGCAAAACATAACCTCTGGCATTATTGTGTTGTGTGTGACGTTTCGTTTTCCATTCCCCTTCTTCTCTTCTGCTCGTTAGCTCGTTAGCTCGTCGTTTGCTGTGGATTTGGATTGTGTTCTGCTCTCTGCTGGCTGCACAATTTTTATTTCAGCTGTGGTTTTTCGATACGGACGAAGAGAGTTAAATACCCCCGCTGCCGCAAACCTACCGTCTAAGCGAATTTCCATTTGCCTAGTAGAAAGAAGTACCTAAAAGGTTTGCGGCTACAGAGAAACTAATAAAGTGTATTTTTATTAAACTATTAATAGCTTAGTATAAAATAAATAAATTTGTCAAGTTTGATCAAAATATATCCATAAACAAGCAAACTATACAACACTACAATACTAATAGCCTACTCTCCATAAGAATAACATGGTAATTTTAATTTTTTTCTACAGTTATACCTAACAATGTACATGTTCTCTCACTGATTTGAGAAAGAAAAGTGGCCAATTCGCTCATCAGTGAGACAATGTTAACATTGTCTCACTCTAATTACGTTGTCTCACTCCAGATTTGCAACGAGAAAGCACGAAATAGTGAGCGCGTAACATGCAGACAACGTCGTATGCGCGCGAAATACGTTGGCAGCACTGGCTGTAAATCAGCTGGTCAGCTGTTGTACTGTTGTATTTGTCACTTCACATTAAATGTTATATTAAAAGTTCACTTCTGTGTAAAAATAGGTTTTTCCTACAGTTACCTAACAATGTACATGTTCTCTCACTGATTTGAGAAAGCAAAGTGGCCAATTCGCTCATCAGTGAGACAATGTTAACATTGTCTCACTCTAATTACTTTGTCTCACTCCAGATTTGCAACGTGAAGGCACGAAATAGTGAGCACGTAACATGCGAGCAACGTCGTATGCGCGCGAAATACGTTGCCAGCACTGGCTGTAAATCAGCTGGTCAGCTGTTGTACTGTTGTATTTGTCACTTCACGTTAAATGTTATATTAAAAGTTTACTTCTGTTTAAAAATAGGTTATGTTTCTTCACCAATTTATTTGTTTTATGGTAACTGTAGGAAAAGTATAATGTGCAACTCGAGTTCAAAGTACAATTGCCTCACTCGAGAGACCATTCCTCACTCACCTACTGCTCATGAGTAAGGATTTCTCTCGAGTGAGTCAATTGCTCACTTTTCTCGCTAGTTGCACAAATAACTATTGTTTCTTCACCAATTTATTTGTTTTATGGTAACTGTAGGATTTCTCTCGAGTGAGTCAATTGCTCACTTTTCTCGCTAGTTGCACAAATAACTATTGTTTCTTCACCAATTTATTTGTTTTATGGTAACTGTATAATGTGCAACTCGAGTTCAAAGTACAATTGCCTTGCCTCACTCGAGAAACCATTCCTTGAGTAAGGATTTCGCTCGAGTGAGTCAATTGCACACACGTCTCACTAGTTGCACAAACAAATAACTATATTTTAATTTCCTCCTTAACTAATTACTGTACAAAAAGACTTTGATATACTGAATTATTTGTTTTTTTAAGCTCCTTAAAAAGGTCTAAAAATAATTTGGTAAATTTTGTTTTTAGAGGGTCAAAAATGAGAAAACCCCATTTTTACCCCATAAAACTCCCTGTTAAACCCCGTTCCCATGGTCCGATCATGCTGGTTCGCAAACTCATCCAAGTTTATCCCCCCCTTACACCTTCAAACCAAATTTCATTGAAATCAGACAAAAATTATTACCTAAAAAAATTCGAAAAAAGCAAAATTTACTAAAAATGAAAAATTAATTAAAATTGATTAATAAATGATTCATTAAATGATTCATTTTTAAAATTTATTAATTTTTAAAATTAATAAATTTTTAAACTAATTAATTATTAAAATTAGTTAATTTAAAAATTTTAATTATGAAAAAATAAAATTATAAAATTAATTTTTATTTTTTTTACTATACGGACGGTTTTTGATACTGACGAAATGAGATTCTATTGGCTGTTCTATTGGTGTGACTCTCTTCTCTTGAGGGAACACCATTACAGCAACAATACAAAGTTCCAAAAATAATGATCTGATTTTAATGAAATTTGGTACAAATACCTAAACCTACTTTTATTTGAATGAGTTCGCGAACCAGCATAATTGGACTATGGGAACGGGGGTTTATGAGGGGTTTTATGGGGTAAAAATTGATTTTTCCAATTTTTGACACAAATTTGTATAGTTTCTCTCCAAACCATTTTGTAGAGCTTAAAAAATATTTGTATATTGAAGCGTTGTTGTATGCCCAACGGTTACGGAGATAATTTAAAAAGTTGTAAATTTAAAATTCCCATGTTATTCTTATGGGGAATAAATAAACTGTTGCAGTTTGCTTGTTTATGGATATATTTAAACCAAATTTGGAAATTTTGTTTATTTAATACTAAGCTATCGAAAATTGCAGTAAAAAAACACATCTAAATATTTTCCCTGTAGCAACAAACCTAAGTACGGTTAATTAAATAGGAAATCAATCTGAAAATTTTTAGGTAATATTTTAGTAGAAATCCAGCTAGGTAAATGGAAATTCGCTTAGTTTGCTGGGGCGATGGTATTTTTTAAATCCTATTATTCTGTATTCCGTTGTTTCAATCACAAAAGTTGCAATAACTTGTGAATTGTGATTTTTACAGCAATGCGGTGTGGTATAATTTGTTCAGAGTAAAAATGAGCTATTGGCTACCTGGAAGGATAAACAGAGGACGTAGAACCAAGGCCGGATATCAGGGGGTCTACTGAAATGCCTTCCCATGTATAGGGGAGGAAGTATAAGGATAGGGAATACACAATGGGAAAATTAGGAAAACCCAGAGAAAACTATTTTATGGAGCATATTATTATTATATTAGTATTAAAGATAGGGTTTCCTGTATTTGACAAACATAAAACAATATTACATGTTGTCAAATAAATTCTACAAAATTTAACAATTTTCCAATTTGAAAATTAGCAAATAGCTACACTGGTTTTAATATTTAGCCAGATATTGCTGGCAAAATAAAAATGCAATAGATGCAAAATGCAAAAAAAATGCAACATTTCAAAAGATGCAAATGAAAAACTGCAAACCTTGCAGCTGCACATGCAGCTGACAATTTAAAATTGATCAAAATAAAAATAAAAATTAATTTGCACTATAAATAGACTAAACACAACAACAATTAATAGGATATAAAATAATAAACCAAAGGGCTTTGGCTTTAAAATTTTACATTTAATATTTTTAATTTTTGTTTAAAAACTAATTAACAAGACACGGGAAAAATGTTTTGGAAATAAAAACACAAAAAGATTAAAATAAAAACCATTTACAAATGATTAATTTACACACAAATCAAAATATAGTAGCCTACTAACATTTTTTTTTACTTAATTACAGCTTTTCTGATTCAAGGTGAGTAATGTTGTATTTCAAAGTCTTAGCATTAGCATGTGAGGTCATTGTACAAAAAACTTAAAAGTATAAAGATATTTATGTCAAAAAGAGTATGTGAGAAATTCAGTAAACTAGCATTGTTAGGATTGAAACAGGATAAATTCTCTTAAAACAAATTGAAATATTTTATGCATATAGATTCTATAATCTAAAACAAGCGCGCGTACAGACAAGCTTTCATTTTCGTCAGAGAATTTCAAATTTTTTTGTTTATTATGGCGTATTTGGCCACGAGAAATCGATTGGAGTTGGTTACAGGGCTGGGATGAATCCAGTTTCCGCCCTACAGCCTTTTAAAGTGCCCGTTATCGTCTATACACTTTTGTAGCTACATTTATAAAACAGCTGATACAGGTAATTTTTATAGCAATCTACGTATTTATAAACGTGTATTGAAATGTTTTCTTTGTATCATCTAAAATTTGTTCACATTGATTACCGTACATAACAAATATCTTTAATTTAGCTAAATAACTTATCTAATAAATTTAATGTTTAATTCAATCTGAGCAAAGCTCAGTCTCCTGGTATTGAAACATTAAATTAATACTTAACTCATCTTTAAGACCTAATTAAAGTAGGTAGGAGGTAATAAGTAGTTATTACATTCCTAAAACAAATTTGCTATCATACAATGAATTAACTAAGGAAATGGATAAATACCTCTAACCACATTACAGAAGAGCCACCATTATCTGACATAGTAAGATACAATTAGTTAAGCATAAAGGTCAGATAACATAAAAAAACATTAAAAACCATTTTACAATTAAAAAAATATATATTTTAAAACTGAAAAAGTTTAAAATACAGGTTCATTGATACAACAATGTAATAGACACTCAAATTGAAAGTTTATAGGCTCACAAACTAAATAGTACCGGTAATGAAATGTAATTATCTTCTTATGGCAAACTTCATTGATACAGAAAAAACTCTCCTTGACTGAGACACATATTTTTAGCGAATTATAGGGAAATAGGGGATAAGCTCTTTAGGTCTCATGGTGAGACTTGATCTGGACCCAGGACAAATTTACTTTTAGCGAATTTCCCATAAAGGGAATAAGCTATTACCGTAGGTCTCATAGTAAGACCCGGAAACGGGACCGATTTAATTTTTCGTTTTGAGGACCCCAGATGCCAAAAACTCCATCCGTTCAAATTCGTATATATGTATATTAATTACGTAAGGCGATTCTTTGCGTCAAAATTGAGGGCGACTGGGATGTTGTAGAACGACGGGAGAGGGCTTACATTAAAGGTCTCTATCCCGTGACGGCGGGAAAAATAGTAGAATTCCCAAAATTTTAACAGAAATTTAGATGTAACGTAAAGTGTCCTCTATAAGACTTGCATTGGAATCCATACACAGCTGATTTTTGTTTACTTTACAGTGTTAGCAAAACGGGAGTGCCGATGGAGACCTGTGGGGATGCGTGCGTAAGGGACTTGACCTGGTCTCCATCGGCACTCCCATTTTGCTAACACTATAATATAGTTGATCGCGCTATACTTCCAAGCCAATATTCAATACACGCAGTTAGTTTACTTCTTAGCCAGTTAACTCTGCAATGCACTGTATACTATATTCAAACCAGGGATAACGTTATCTATTATTGAGACTTTTTGAAAACTAAAAACCAAAACAAAGATTTTTGTGTCAACACTGTCAACTGTCAGTTCTGATGGAAAAGAATTTCATGATTGGCATCTACAACTGGGAAATGAAACCCTAAAACTATAAACTATTACTCAATGTGGCTGATAAAAATGTTCATTCTGTATGGTTCTTATTTACTTCCCTAGTTTTTTTAAAAAAAGGTCGAAATAAATCATTTTGTTAGCCCCTGCACGGTCTGAGAAAAGGTGCCTCTTATTGCTCAATGTTATTTCGCCATAACAACAAAAGGTCCCATTTCTAATATCCACTTAAAAAGACTTAAGTCCAAAAAATAAATTGTCCTACATTCTAGTGGAAATTTAGAGAACTACAACAAAGTTCATTTGACAAAGAACAAAATATCTCACAAATTTTGCAGTCCCGACAAGAGGTACCTTTTTTATGTAACGGAGAAAGAACATAGGGCCAACAAGAGGTCCCTTTTCTGAAATGTGATTTTTACGACATGATAAAACGCTATGATAAAACAATTATTCAAATGAAAACTACTGTGAATAGTGTGAGTTATGTTTAGCCTCCCACCCACTCAACCGAAAATACCCTCCTTCCGGCATGGTGCTCCCAGCAGTAATTTGCCTTACAAGGCGTTTGGGTCGTAGTGTGTTTCTTTATGCACTTGCTAGTCAGTTTCTTGGAACGCATACATCAAACTTACGTGTCAATACCCTTTGTGTATAGTAAAATGGCCGGCTTGTGTATGGTAAAGCAGCCGGCAGTACGTCAAATTTACGTATTGATACCCTTATTGTCACACTGTATGACGATACCTTACTATGCAATTCCTAAGTACGTCAAATTTACGTATTGATACCCTTAGCATCATGCTGTATGACAATACGTTTCTAGAGTTATAAAACAAAAAAATTACAAACAAAAAATTTAGTACATTGAAATGTTTTTGCACAGTTATTAGTCTTGAAGGAAATTTAAAAAATAGTAAATTTAAAATTCCCATGTTATTTTTATAGAGAAGTAAACTCTTATAGTTTTCTTGTTAATGGATACATTTTGACCAACTTGCCAACTTTATTAATTTTAAACTAGTTACTATTTTGTACAAAAAAAAAAAAAAACACACACTTTATTACTCTCCCTGTAGATGCAAAGGTACTAGGTACTCTTTAAACCTCAAGTTATTTAAATCGATTTAAGTAAAAATCAAATCAGGCAAATGGTAATTCGCTTACTCTGTAGGTTTGCTGCGGCACCAGTAAAAATTTAACATTGTGTTGACAGAGTCTTGTGCTACTAAATAACAATAAAAGCTGTCTGTACCTGAAAGAAAAGCTAGATACAAACCATTTAGGAACTATTTTTAAAGTTAAACAAAGAACAATAATTTTGTTTCATGGATAAATTACCAATAAAGACAGTGGCGGTTCTAAAGGGGGCTACATGGGCTAAAGCCCCCCCCCGATTGGACCGTAAAGATGAAGATTCAACTATGCATTCAGTCATTAAAATGTAACAAGACATTAAAAGTGGTTTTAAATAGTTGCCAAATGGCTTTAAAAAGCAAATTTTTAAAGACCCCCTTCTGATGGGGAGCACTTTTGTTAGCTCCTCTTTGACAAGGTCCTAGAACCGCTACTGAATAGAGACAGTACAAAAAAAATGGTTCATCACACAGGCCAAAATGCATCTTTAACTCTTGCTCATTTCCCAACCTTGGCTTTGCCTTGGTCATTAGACTAGTGCTCACATAGAAAATAATCACTTAAAAAAAGCCTTAGTAAACAATTTAAAATTTACCATTCTTAGGCCCCACGATCAAGCCTCCAAACAATCCATTCCATTCTTTTGAATTAAAAGTTGAATGTAACTTAGTCAGTAAAGCTTCATTGCCTATTTATTTCAATAACTGTTAAAATTCTGAAAAAAAATATTTTAAATAATTAAATATATTAAGACCTGTGGATTCTTAAATAAACAATAAAATAAATCATTGACTCCATGAATGACAATAGTCATTCAATACACACCAAATATAATACACTATAATATTGCACAGTTCAAACATGAAAAAGCATTCCTGCTTTCGTGTTCAGAAACATAACACTTTAGAAGACTCAGGTATTATCGTTACTAGAGCCTACTTCCAAATCAAAGCTAGATATTATCTCAACGTCTGGTCTCGCGTTTTTGAACGTTATAACACCCCTCTCTGTGCACGAGGTGCCTTTGACATTAAGCAGCTTGAGACCTTTGAGACATTGTGCACAATGACGTAAACTTGTGTCCGTCACTGTCACGTAGTTGCACAGTTCAACTACTTGCAGGGGCGACGGCATAAACGCGTCGTTGTGTTCCATGAGTAGAACAAAGAAACCCATAGCGTTCCATTCGGCCAGTGTGGCTCCAAAAGAGGTGATAGCCATGTCCGTGATCAGTGTGCGACCATCAGCCGACGGAGCTTCCAGATACATCTCCTTCAGCTGCGGAGTCTTGTTGAGACAGGATATCTCTCGGTCACTTATAAACGTCCGGCGGAAGTCCACCACCTTCAAACAATCAGATTATTCGGTTGATTGTTGTTTAGTTTACTTCTGCTTTCAAAATATGTATTAATTAATAAGTCTTTTTAGATATTAAATTCCTAAACGTACATATTAGGCCTATAACATAAGTTAATAAAATACCTGAGTGTAAACTTACCTACCTGTGCGTTATACTTGTTACACAAAAAATACTTTCTAATTTGCCCTAAAACATAATTGGATTTCTTATATTGTTTATGAATTGTAATTGTACACAAATTAAATTAGATATAGTAATTAAATAATTATTCAATGGTCCAACTCTGCATGTATAATATCATACCGTGAGAGCTCTGAAGCCAAAGCGAGTTCCCAAACTGATGTAGGGTACAAAGTCGTTGATCTTGTTGTTGGATAGCCTCAGTTCCTCAAGAGCAGGGCATTTACTGAGCGCAAGGAACGAGTGAGATTCAAACCACGTGCAATCAGAGACGTCCAACACCTGAAATATAAAAACTTATGTGGCAATTAAAATTGTGATTCAACCAATGTTTTATTAGGCTATTTGCTCAACAAGATGCTTACATGGGAAACATTACTTTTTCTTAGTAAAGGGTGAAAGCAAATTTATTTAGGTTTAGTACCTCCTAAAATTTCTTGGGAAATGAAAAGATTTAAAAAGTATTTCAATTATTTTCAAACTCAGTTGAAAAGACTAACTAAAAATGAATTTAGGCTAGTAAATAAAATACAAAAGTCTTAATGCAAAACTTGAAATTCTAGCGATTCAGGTTTTTCTTGTGATAACAATGAGTGCAACTAATTAAAAACAGTCTCTCTACCTTTGCTTATACGAAAAAAAGGATTAGAGGATATTTGATACCTTTAATCGAGGTAAATACTTGTCGACTCCAAAGAAAAAGGATTTACTAGGCTGAAGATTGCTCACTTGACATCGATGCAGTGACAGGTACTCTAACCCTGAAGGGAACTGTTCCCACGAGAGCTGTAACATTGATTTACTATAGCACCTTCCGTTAAAAAGCCACACTGAGCAAGCACTACCGATCCTTTGATATCAAAGTGACAATGACATGATGAAAGAAGTTATTCATTACAGCTATAACTTTAAATATCACTTTCACAGTAGTTGAAATAAAAGATTACACCAGAGTCCCGCAAATATGAACTAGTTGGATGGAAACTTACTGTTCAGATAACCAAATCGAAATCGTTCTGAATAGGTAGCTGCTGGAAAACCAGTAAAATTCCATTTAAATAAAACAATGTATTTTTTTTAGGTAAATGGCCATATATTGTAACTGCTATCATGAGAACACCACTACCGTCTCCCGCCATTACTACAACACTGTGATCATCTCTTAATTAGCGCAACACTGTGATCACTTTATGGCATCGCAGCAACACCCATGATTATATCTTAGTGCTTTTTTACATCACCTTTACAGAGAACCACCGAAACGCTAATAATGAATGGGTGCTCAAACATAGGCTGTTATCGCTTATGCTATCACAAAATTCCTGGCAAAACAAAATTCATGAATAATTCACAGACTTTTTTTTGTCATTAAAATGCATGTGTTCTGTTTAGAATTTCAGAAGAAAAAGCTTAATTTTTAATTCAAGTAGGTAGCCTACAGTAGTTTTCTCCTGAAAGGTGATTAGCAGGACCCTGATGTATTGTAAAATCAAAAGAATGTTGCACACATCAAGTTGGTTATAGTTAATTAACCCAAAAAAGTACAGGGTGTGTAATGTGTATAAAAGAATGCCGGGTTTTAAAAGGGTAATTGCTTGGATACTATTCAAGGTTACTAAATGTTTTGTACGTCAAATTGAAGCTAAAATAACTAAGTTTTGTTTCCTGTGAAGCAACGGAGGAAACTTTGACCTTGGCATGCGCAAAACAGGCGCAGGGTGGTAGGCCGCTATTGCGACTCGCACGCCTGACGCCAGTCACCAGTGTAATGTTTACGGCGCAACAGAAGGCACATAGTGTAATCTGTGGATCACAGAGTTTACAGTATATCGATTGCTAAATTAAACTAAATTTAAATATACTTGATGATAAAGAAATTTGATGCTGGTTTAATGAGTTTTGTGGCACAGTAGTGTTTTGAAAAAGACATTCACCTGGCCAGCTAAAAGCGATGACATAGTCGAAGCAATCCGACAATTCTGCATCAGAAGCCCCAAAAAATCAATTGCCCGACGAAGTTTTCAGTTTAACATACCTAAATCAACACTTCATGATGTTATCTGTAAAACATATAGTCTTTGTGCCTAAAAAAATTCCGTTAAGACATCAGATAAACCTGCCGATCACCCTAAGCGTACAGACCAATGAGTTTTACCCTCATATAAGATTGATGAAAATCTGAATTTTATTAAATTATTCCGAATTGTATCAAAGTATGAGAAAAAACTTTGTTCTTTTTTCTTCAATTTGACCTCTAAATCATTTAATTACCTTGAATAGTCCTCGAGCAACGATCGTTTAAAATCCCGGCATTCTTTTGTAAACACCTGTATATTGTATTATTTTTATCTAACATTTATAGGTAGTATAAGGTACTATACAGTATTATAACATTAGAAATAATCCACTTACTTGTCGGGAATCCAAAATATGATTCTCGAGTATAAGAGTAACAAGGTTAGGGGCAGCTTCTTTGATTTTTTCTAAAAGCTTTCCTGTAAAGCTAGGAACTATCTCTGAGGTAGAAGAGCTTGCTTGAGAACTTGAATCACTACTTGTACATTCTTCAGGTTCTTGAGTGTGTTCACTATTTTGACTATCTGATAAACTGTTACACAATATATCAAGCAAGCTCAATGGTCCATTTGTAGCTATAAAATTTGTGCAAGGAAGGAGAAACTTTATATATTTTTCAATTTCCATGTGTGAAAGACAAACAGGTCTAAGGTCAACTGAGGTCCACAGCGTGCGATCAAACACAACTTGTTGTATTCTTTGGCAACACCTGTAAAACATAAAAAATTACAACAATAAATCTACACCCTCAAGATTGTTTTTAATTTTTAAAGTAAGCTATTGACAAATTATTAGGATACATACAAATTACAAACAGAAGAAAAAAATACTTTTTTAAATTTAAATTTGTGATTGAGAACTGCACGTTTAGTGATAAAATATTAGCCCAGGTAGTAGTATCAGCCATTAAATGTAATGAAAAAAAAATGTAATGAAATGGGGGCCAATGGGCCCCCTCTTCACCAACCCTAATGGGACTGGACCTATGTCGGATAACTCAAAAGGTCGGTTGAAACGGACATTGCCTAAAAACTTAAAAAATTAAGTAATATTCATTTGGAATTTTATTTTATACTCATGCGTTTATTATTTACAAAATTAAATACGGTACTCTTATTTCCTTTTTTTTTAAAGTATTGAAGATAGAAAAGTCACAAATAAGCCCAAGCACGGTAAAGTCAAATACTTTCAGTGGAATAAATTATAGTTGTAGGCAAGAGTCAATAAAGGTTCTTATTTTAATACCTTTTAGTAATATTAATTGATGCTTTCCAAATCCATTATAATACAGTACAAAACTTATTGTTGAAATCAAAGATACAAGCAGTCATTTTGTTACAATGCAGGATGTTTAGCATATCGTTCCCATCGCCGAGCGTGGGAGCGGAAATGCTGAGATTCCTAGAAAGCGACGGTTAAATCATACTGCTCTCGAAACAAGATTGTTTAAAACAAACTGTTTAATATTTCCCGAGCGAGGGCGGATAATTCGATTATCAGTCAAGAGGGGTTCTACTGTACCTACTTTAAATTGGCATGTCACAATCTGAGTAAAGTATGTTGATATACCAACTCCTGTTTGATTATAAGCATAAATGTTTATGTTTATCATAAGAACGTTACTGACATTCATTTTCATCTTACTAAAACTTACTGACTGAGAGACAAAAGATCATTTGGTCTCAAGTAAGAGAAGATTTCTAGCAATATGTCATCACAGCAGCTTAGTAGTCCTAGTTGTCTTTTAGTACCATTGCCATTCAAAGTATCATCTAACTTGGCTCTTTTGCGAGGTGGGCTGTCCGAAGAACAATCCTCACTATCAGGTAACGTCATCTTTACCTAAAAACATATAATACTTAGTGTTAAAGAGTGTTCTACCCGGTCAATTCAAGATGGCGGCTAAACATAACAATGTTTCGAATCATACCTCTACGGAACAAGGTCTCAACATTCTAAAACTAATTTGTTTCCAATCATTGTGTGCTTTTTGTGCTCTTTACATGAGAGCTTGCAATGGATGGGGATAAATTAATGTTCAACTACTATTTAGAAGCTAAAATCACATGTGAAAAAGGCTAATTTACAGATTTTCAAAATGATATTATAGAGAGGTATTGAAAGAAGAAATTACGGAGTTTCAGCTCATCCAGGGCATAGTTTGGATCTTTGAGAATACAGTTCATTTCAACTCGATAAACACTTCAATAATGCCACGAGATCATTTTGTAGTACCATGTTTATTGTTTACATGGAAACCGGTCGGTGGGTGGAACCCTCTAACCAACTCATATTATCTCTCCAGACCCAATAGTTCACTAGGCTTTAGTTTTATTTGAATTAAATCTACAAAGTAAGGACATTGTAAGCCTCCCTTTAGGGAAAATTGTAAATGCTCTTCCTAAAACTTGGCTTGGTCTATTATGCACAGTATCGTGGTTACTGGGACGCAAGAGTTTTTTTGTTTTGTTGTGGGAACAAGCAACAGACACTGTTTGGAAAATATCTGGAATAGCGCGACAATAGAATCCTCCTCACTTTGGTTCTCACTCATGACTCATCACTGCCACTGTTTACTATAATCCTCTGTCTTTGTCAACTATCTCTTGGGCCCCATAGCGCATCACATACTAACCTCGGGCCTGATCATGCACATGCACAACATTAAAGCAAGTTGATATAATGGCTTATGGACCATATGACTTGGATGAAATTTTAGTTGAAATTGCTAATGTTTTATAGTCTAAGTTAGACATTTAAGCGTACTGTCATCACATCTAACGTCCAATGTCTGAAAAAGATTAACTTACTAAAGTATTTATCACTTTATTTTTCTTTTAGCTCTCTGCATGTATCCTTATTTCTATGAAGGCCTATTTATATGTTGTAGGCTAATGTGATTGTGATATATCGCTATTATAAAATAAATACAAAGTTATTATTTGACGAGGTCTATTGTAATTTATAATTATTTATTTCTTACTGACGCATGAATGTTCTCTAGGAATACTTAAAAAAAGAGTTAGTCTATTGTCCATTTAATTACAGATAAAGTGCTTGATTACTTGGATGGAGGATTTATGGAGTAAAATAGAAAAGGGGTCAATCTGTATCAGGTCATCCAGGGCATGACACCCATGTTCTCAAATTCTAATGAATATTTTTTTAATGTGTTCTGCTTGCTATTCTAATTATAAATACCAAATTTCAATTTGATATCTTGAATACTATTTTAGTTATGAACTTTTAAAGATTGCTAAAAATAAGCGTTTTTCCCATTCCCGCCGATTATCGGGAAGGTGACGTTGTTTTGGTAAAAAAAAAATCATTACTCAGTCAGTATTTATTGTATTACAATGGGAATTTTACTAAAATGTTCAGGAAATCTTGTAGAATTAAGGAAAAATATGTTTATGGGGATTTTCATTTTATGTTTCAGTCAGTATTCCATCAAACTTAAATTTTGGTTTAATTTTTAGAAAAAAAAACACACACTAATGTAAACCAAAGGTCTTTATTTATATTTATGTTCCTAAGGGCATAAACTAATAGGTTCTTAAAGAAAAACACTGGGTTTTTCACTGCCTTTATATATTTATTTATAGGTACTTCATTAAACAGAAAAATATAATTATCAAGAAAAAGACAAAATGTGGGTAGTTAAATCTAGGTATATAGGCCAAGTAAGAATCAATAATATTTAGTTCTGGATGTATTATTAAAATATGTATGTATTAAAAAATCATCACACATTTATAAGAAAATACAATTACAATCTGAAAGACAGTAAAACTGAAGTTAAAAAGCGCTTGACGTTGAGGGAACCCAAATTGAAATGTTGCCAAGTTTACAAAACAATAAAGAGGCTTATAAAACCATTAGTACAGTATTAAGAAAATATGAAGTTCTTACCAATAAACCTTACTGAATGAAAGTTTTGGAGATAATCATCTGCTTACTTTTGTAGCCTACTTTTGTGTTTGTTATTTTACTGGATATCAATTGAATCAATTTCTTTTTTCTGAAAATAATACATTCTTTCTGATGCTTTTGTAGCTTGAAAGTTGATATATTATGTTTCTCACTTTAATACTTAACAAATATCTTCTTTTGAAGGCCAATGGAAAAATGGAGCAGGTCCGTCGGGATGCAAAAACTTGACTTTATTTGACTTTAACATAACCTTCCTCTTCATGTTTGGATAAAACTAGACCAAAAATCAATGGTCATTATAAATGCATGCAATGTAATTGTGTACAGCCACATCTGACATCTTAACCAATTGAGTTTCTGTAGGAAAACAGAATATGCTAAAAATTAAACCAATATTAAAGTTTGATGAAATACTGACTGAAACATAAAATGAAAACCCCCATAAACATATTTTTCCTTAATTCTACAAGATTTCCTGAACATTTAATAAAAGTCCCATTGTAATACGATAAATAGGCTACTGACTGAGTAATGATTTTTTTACCAAAACGTCTCCTTCCCAATAATCGGCGGAAATGGGAAAAACGGTTATTTTAAGCAATCTTTAAAAATTCATAATTAAAAAAGTATTCAAGATATCAAAATTAAATTTGGTATTTATAATTAGAATAGCAAGCAGAACACATGATAAAATATTCATTAGAATCTGAGAACATGGGTGTCATTTTAACTTTTGACTGGATGATTTGAAATGGACCCAAAGTCCTTCCGAAATAACTGGCAGAGTTAAAGAGAGAGAGGCACACAAAGTAATGGAAAACACTCAAACAGCAAACAGCTTAATATGGAAGCGTGGTGAATTCTTGTAAATGGCACTTTTGGTCATGCAATTTTTAAACTAGGCCTAGTTTATATCAGAAAATAGCGGCTAAAGCCCGGTTAAAACGAGGCCAGTAGAGCAGGCAGAGTACAGGGCAGGTTACTTGCCTCTAGTCCAATATTTCAAGTTACCTGAGGTACTTAAGTAACCTGCCTTCCAACTGGCTTCATGTAAACGCGGCTTAAATAGATACAAAAAAAGGTAACAAAACATAACACTGATAAATACTTTGTACCTATAGGCCAAGGCCAAGGATATAGGCCTAGGACTAGGAGAGTAGGTTGAAGAGAAATGTCAGTTGAAATTCAAATGTGGAGCGATCTTCGTAAATTGCCAATTGTGGTGCTTGGGTAAAATAAATATAAATAATACATTTGTTGGAAAAAATTTAATTGTGAGTCATTAAAACCCAAACTTTGAATAAAATGGTAAGCCTTGATTGTCAACAAAAAGATATGGCTCTTTGATGATTAAAACGCTAACCTATTCCTCCTTTTATTCAAGATCCTATTTAGGAAGTAGCCCTAGTTTAAATAAAAAATCATTACAGCCTATTGAAAAGAACAGGTCTAATATTGAGAAGGTTTTGGCATTTTAGGAACATTTGCTTGAAGCAAAATTTCCTAGAATAAAATGATTTTGGTAAAAATTGAGGGTACTTTTGTATCATACAAAGGCCACTCAAAAACAATGTGCTGCGGCGGTTATGTTAGGTTGGGTTATCATAATTTATGTATGACTCATTTGGTATTGTTCGATTCATAACAAAACGAGGAAAGTCCTACATATATATTTATGATAACCCAACCCAACCTAACCACCACAGCGGGCAGTAAAATAAGTGGCCTCAAACCAAATTGGTACCAAATTGAGAATGGGTCAACGCTTATTTATATAGCTTCAATCAACCACATAATATAAGGTTAGGATCAGTAACCTTAATAATTAAGTAAACTAACTAACTAGCCTACTTATAGACTAATTGTCCTAACTAAGCTAAAATTTCCTAAAAGAAGAGAGACGCAGTAGCAACCTAGTCAATATGTGAAAATTGTGACTTGAAGAGTACTTTTACCGGTACTTTAATACCTACTTTTTATTGAAATGGTGACCCTATGAAGGTAGGTATTTTAAGCCAAGTATAAATGGAGATGAGTGTAGGATGAGTGGCACGATGTTCTAATCTTGTTAATAACTAAGGCCAACATGTTCCTTAGACAGGCTGTTAATTAATAGCCAATGGCAACTAAGTTAAGGGACCTACACTTTATTACTGTAAAGTGGGATCCGAATACATACTTTAATACTTTTCAATGAAATGGCGACCATACAAAGTAGGTATTTTAAACCAAGTATGAATGAAGATGAGTGTAGGATGAGTGGCGCGATCTTGTAGTCTTGTTACTTAGTGACTAAGGCCGACTTATTCCTTAAACACAGCTGTTAATTAATAGCCCATACAGCTAATGGCAACTAAGGGACCTACAGTTTATGGTGGAATCCGAACCACATTTTCGCCTTGGTATATACGAATTGGTCTAATTTTCAGGATACTACTGCACATAGTCGTAGTACTCACTCGTGCAGACGTTAATCCACACCAGGGAGTATCGCATCCACAGTACATGCCTTTAAATATCCACAATTCGTAACCTCCTAGTAGCTGGATTACAGGACAATGCCACCCGTCCCAGTTTATAACTTAGGCTTACAACAGGTTTAAACATAGGCTATAACTTAAGTTAACTTACAACAGACCGTGGGAATTATTACAATATGGAAATACCTCAGCTGCACTTTAGTTTATGTCCTACATTTACTCACATAGGCCTACTGCAGCTTGGTTAAGGTTAGGTTTAGATTAGCACTGTTTCATTTTATCAGCTGGTGTATAGGCCTAAAGTATAATAGTAAATGTAGGACGTAGACTAAAGTGCAACCAATATCTCTAATAGACTACTTAGGCATTTGGCTTGGCCTCAATAGACTTCATTAAAATGAAAAAGGTGACCCCTTGTGGATTTCATTGGGTGAATTTACCAAAAGAATTTGGCTAACCTTCTCTTTATTTTAGCCGATATATACCTGTCTTGTAAACGTGCTGACTGAAATAGAATGCATAAATTAATATAATGTTGTTAATTGTTGTTCTGCATCATTCACTTTCTTAGTCTAATAATGCCTAAAGTTAGTGGAGTCATCATGACAGAATGGCACTTCCATGTTCGGTAGGCCTAAATTAAATGAGAAGAATTAAGCTTATTTTATCTATGGTAAGTAGTTATTGTAGCAACAAAATAAACAAACTATTAAAATTATTGCTATTGTAATAAAATAAAATCAAACAATTGTTAATTCTAATTGAGCTAAACATCAAACTAAAATTATTCATTGTGGACGCCTTCAGAATGGTGAGTTTACCTTGTTTTGCAGAAAGTAAGGTTGATTCAAATATAACTAGTAGCTCTCATATTATGAAATTTGTATAATAAATACTCAAGTAATTTGAAGCACAATAACAATACTATTCTATAAACAAAAACTACAACTAGGTTAGTATTATTATGACAATTAGGTTGATTGTTGATTTTTGTTTTGTTTTTGTAGCTTCTGTACCAGCGTTGCCAACTGAACTATGTTTTAAGGAACGAATTAATTAATTTAAAGGTATTACAGTATTATGGTATTACACTGCCAAAAAGTTTAATTTAGAGCTTTGCGTGGCTTTGCCTTTGCCTATACATTATTAACCATTACGTATTATAAAAATATATTCAACGGAAAAATAAACTTACACAATTGACTTTGAATAGTATTATAGACTAACGTTTGTTTTATCTATGATAGTATTAAACAAGAGGTAGGTATACTTCATTGTAAAATGTGAAGTATGTTTCTTTTTGTGTTTAGAAAGGGCTGTTGGTTTTTGTATTATGAATATACATACGCATACACATATAACAGTAACATGTGATGTGATGTGGAAAGCGAAAAGGGACCTCTTGTCGTCGATGCAAAATTTCCTGAAAGGCCGATATAAGTAAAGGTCGAAAATATCGAAATTCGGTTTTTATTGATTGTTATACCTCATGTATCATAGAACATGACAGTAATTGGTTTGAATATCGAATTTAATACATAAAAGATCGAAATAAATCATTGTTAGCCTCTGCACGGTCTGAGAAAAGGTACCTCTTGTCGCTCAATGTTATTTTTCCTACAGTTACTTAACAATGTACATGTTCTCTCACTGATTTGAGAAAGCAAAGTGGCCAATTCGCTCATCAGTGAGACAATGTTAACATTGTCTCACTCCAGATTTGCAACGTGAAGGCACGAAATAGTGAGCGCGTAACATGCAGGCAACGTCGTATGCGCGCGAAATACGTTGGCAGCACTGGCTGTAAATCAGCTGGTCAGCTGTTGTACTGTTGTATTTGTCACTTCACATTAAATGTTATATTAAAAGTTCACTTCTGTGTAAAAATAGGTTATGTTTCTTCACAAATTTATTTGTTTTATGGTAACTGTAGGAAAAGTATAATGTGCAACTCGAGTTCAAAGTACAATTGCCTCACTCGAGAAACCATTCCTCACTCGCCTACGGCTCGTGAGTAAGGATTTCTCTCGAGTGAGTCAATTGCTCACTTTTCTCACTAGTTGCACAAATAACTATTTCCTACAGTTACCTAACAATGTACATGTTTCTCACTGATTTGAGAAAGCAAAGTGGCCAATTCGCTCATCAGTGAGACAATTTTAACAAATAAATAAGGTCAATAAAGTTGGAAAATGTACCCTAGGGACACGTCATGGTCGTGAATTTCGAGACTTTAAAAATACGAAAAAAATACCTAGAACCTATTTAAAACCAAATAAATGTGTGTAACATGTTGCCCCCGTCCCAAAAAATATTAAAACACATAATAATAAACTACAAATCCAGTATCTACGAAGTAAAAGGCCAGGGACATGAAAACGTACGTTTTTAGATTTTCACTCAATTGCTCACTAGTTGCACAAATAACTATTGCTATAACAAAAGAGGCAATGCCCCACTAGAAAAAGGTGTTTCTATATAGTGGGGCCTTGCAAGAGGTCCCATTTCTAATAGGTAGTCACTTTATAAACAGACTTAAGTCCAAAAAATAAATTGTCCTGCATTCTAGAGGAAAAAATAGAGAACTACAACAAAGTTCAGTATAAATGGAGAACATCTAAAAAAATTTGCAGTCCCGACAAGAGGCCCCTCTTCTGAAATGCGAATTTTACGACATGCTTCAATAAAACAATTACCGGTATTTAAATGATAACTACCGGGAGTTAAGACAAAAATTTTGTTTGCCTCCAAAGAAGACATTATAAGCTTTCTTTTGATACCAAAATTGTTTCTTAAATACGAAAAAACTGTTTTATGCGTATTTGAAATTTTCAAAAGGGTTTTTCTCAAATGACCCTTTTCAATAACCCCATGGGAGAATAGTAGGCTAGTAAGGCTAGAAATTTGGAATATTTAATAAGTCACAGGAAGAGAGGATGATGTCTAAGCTACTATATAAATAAGAATTTTTACTGAAAGTAATTCAAAACTTCTACAAACTTTCCAAATGATTTTAAAATAAACAAAAGCCAACACAATCAATTACTACTTAACTAAGGTAAATGACCAGCATAAATGTTAAACTAAAACAAACATTGAAACAATTTATTATCTATTTATTTATTATCTAGAAATTCGTTCGAGGAGGAACAACCTTATATTCCATGGGCTGGAGTGGAGAGGAAAGAGAGGTTGTAGCGGGGCTATGGTTGTAGGATGATTTTGTAGTGAAGTGCTAAATGAGGGAGGTAAGACTTTTATCAACAGGGCACATTTGATTGGCAAAGATGGATAATTATTAATAGCTTATTTACCGTATTAGCCGATATAGACTACATTATGATGCAAGCCGAAACCCTAAGGGGAACAGGATACGCTGTACACCGTGACTACCCATTGGAGATATGGACAAAACGATCATACCTGGCAGCTGTTAGAACAGAAATCGAGAGAGTGGCTGGTAGCAACTTCATGATGTCCCTGTCATTTGACCAGTATCTATATATATAAAAGGCAAAGCCCTCACTGACTGACTGACTCACTTATCACTAATTCTCCCACTTCCCATTTACCTAGGAGGCTGAAATTTGGTACACTGATTCTTTAGGCATTAAATAGGAAAACTAAGTTGTTTTTATTCTGATCGGACTCTCGGGCTCCGCCCCAGTGGCTCTGGAGTTTCCCATGTTAACCTTATGAGTACTCATATTTTAATGGAATTAACGAATCTTAACAGCTGTTTCAATTAAACAAGTTGGTTCTGTTCTATGATGTGCAATAGCATTAAAGATACGAGGATTACCAACAGGGTGCAGCACTATTTTTTTTTTAATTTAGCGAACAAACTTTAACCAGGACGTGATTGAGCCATGCGAACGAGCTCACTTATGAAGTAAAACGGGGCAAAGCCCGCGGGTACAGCTAGTCATAGATAAAACATACTCCCTTGAGGAGTATGTTTTATCTATGCCAGTATCTAGTTGTCATTTGTGAAGGACTGTCGACCTCGACCAACATAGGAGGCAAGTAAGCTAATGGCAGGACAATACGGTGGAGCAGAGAAGCTGGAGGACTGGAGGAGTTGTTTCGACATACTTCACAGACTTTCTAAGACATTAACTTGCCCACTGATATCCATATATAAATCCCAAAAGTACCCATGAACTTTGAGAAAACTTAAAAGTCACACACTCATAAACCATATAGATACGTGAAACCTGCGCAAAACTATCCATTATTTCATAAATTGTCCATTAAGGTCGTATTCCTTTATAAAGGGAACTTTCCATGTACCTACCTAATGTTAAAAAAATACCTCAGGTGTGATTATTTGTTTGTATTACTGTATTCTGTTTTGTTTATTTCAGCTTAACTTAACTTATCAATTGGTTTTATTAATACTTATGAAGTCAAACGGGGTGAAGCCCGTGGGCAACAGCTAGAGTCTTCTTTAGTTGCTAAATTTGACTGCTTATCGTCTAAAAGTTTATTGAAACCGTCCATCAACTGTTCATACGATAACTCTCCTAACCCCCAACCATCTCTGCTCCTTGCTCGTTAATTGTCCTCTGCACCGTTCAGCGATGTGTAAGGTTTATGCCTTTTTCCACTTCGGTTTCGAGGTGTAAAAAACTGATTGATTTTATTCTCAGACATAAGAAAAAGTCGATCGCGCACTGAAACTACACTGTAATCACCACCACATCCACACTGTACCACGGACGGCCGTCCTGATGTGACACGGCCGTAAAAGCAATTTTATAATAACTACGGTCCGGAAGTGTTCACTGCTATGCAAATGGATAACTGAGCTCAGATGTCCTAGGTTTGCATTATCAGCGAAGATAACAACGTTTGTCCGCTACCTCAATTAATATTGTCCTTAAAATCAAGACCAGATGTGAGCCACTAGAATCCGCTACCACAACAGTTGAGCCATTATGTTTATTAAAATGTCATTCAATATTCAATGGAGCACAGTTCTACAAGTCACACACAGCATGTGGCCATCATCAAAATTCTTTTGTCTTTCTTAGTTTTCGATAATTTTATAATTCATGTGACAAAAAGGATGCTTTTAGTTTGCAGTAAGCGTTTCTTTCAATTTGGCATGGCGAAAAGAGGGCATATTCAACAGAAATTAGTGATTGACTTAAACCAGTTTAACCCAGCCAGATCACACTCTGTGGAGGGGCTCCTCAGTTCATCTTCATATGAAATGATCAGACAAGTGGCAATAGTGCTCGCATAACAATACAAAGGTTTCCGGATTGATTATGAGAAGAGCAGTAAGAAGCCTTTTGACAGTTTGAATCTGGACACAGCTGTCCCTGATCTTTGGGCTTTAAATAAACTAGCTATTACCCACCGGCTTCACCCCGTTTGACTCCATAAGTAAAACAAACCAAAGATTACACATGCTACGCAATTACAAAGATTACAAAATTTTGCGTAGCACGTGTAATCTTAGGTAATACTATTGATTGGTTAAGTTAAGCTGAAATCTATATATATAAAATCCAATGTATGTATATGTTTGTTTGTTTGTTTGTATGTTTGTTTGTTTGTCCTTTATGACTCCGAAACCGCTCGACAGATTCTAATGGAACTTTCAGGCATTATTAAGCATTATTCAAGGATGGTTTGTGTGAAGGTTGGTGCAGATCTGTCAAAAGGGCTCCGTCCCAGTGGCTCTGGAGTTTCCCATGTTACCCTTATGAGTACTCATATTTAAATGGAATTAAAGAATCTTAACAGCTGGTTCAACTAAACAATTTGACTCTGTGATGATCAATAGAAATAAAAGGTTACAAGATTAACCAACAGGGTGCAGCACTATCACTTTTTTAAATTTATGACAACAGCTAATTTGCAACCAAAGTGAGTGAGCGTAGCGAACGAACTTCAACCTGGAGGCGAGTTAGCGTAGCGAACGAGCTAACCTGAAGGCAAGGGAGCGCAGCGAACGAGCTTCAATCTAAAGGTGAGTGAGCATAGCGATTGAACTTCAAACAGGACGTGATTGAGCCATGCGAACGAGCTCATATTGAAAATGAACGAGCATTTGACATAAAACCACATTAGGACAGGACGACGTCTGTCGGGCCAGCTAGTAATAAATAAAACAGAATATAGCAATACAAACAAATAATCACACCTGATTTTAATAAGGTAATAAATTGAAAGAATATAACATACAAATAAGTACAGCTGAGGTATTTTCAACTTTACTAGTGTATTTGTTGCTCAAATTCGAGCAATTAAGCATTACAGGCGTTATTTTAAAACTAATAGCAGTCATAATTTCTGATGACTTTAAAAGATTCGACTCAAATATTATGGAAATACTCAAGATGTTCATAACAGATCGATATAATCGATAAATTGGTACCCGGCCTAGGTCTTAGCGTGCCACCGAGGGTCATAGCTACAGGAAAATTCGTTAAAAATATCTCTTTAGTTGTATAAGCTATACTGATTGGAAAATAATTATACAGTGGTGTCTTTCAATCTTTATTCACAAAATCTGAATTCATAGTTAAAAATTCAAGACACTTAGAAGACAGATCTGATAGAATTTTATGAGCTTCCATCCACCGGTTCTTGTCAGAATTGCAGTATGTTACAGTGTTTTCCACTGCTTTCCTCATCACCTTGAAAAATCTGGAAAGAAAGAACTTAAAACAAGACATAATAAATTTGGAGAGCTTGGTTTCAAATTATGTAGGGTTTTACACATACATGACTTCTTATCATGTGACACATGAATATTTTTGAATAATAATAAAATAATATTAAGCAAAACAAACCACTAACAATACTTACTGTAATTTATTCTATTGTTCAGCATTGTAGTACAGTATGATAATTTGTTTAATCTTACTGTAACGCTTTGATATGATAAATATTTTTGTTTTGTAAGCGATACAAAATCATTGGAAAGAAATTGAGACATTTAATGTTTTGTGGTAAAAAAATTAAAGACACCAATTTTCAAACCCTTAAAATCCCATTCTCATAGTTTAATTATGCTGGTTTGCGAACTCATTTGAACAAATGTAGGTTTACTTTTCGTACAAAATGTTATAAAAATCTGATGACTTTTTATCAGAGGCATCATACTAACAAACATATTATATGTAATATAGTACCAGGGGACCGAGCATTGCTTGTGGGTGTTTAATCTTTTGGGACGTTTAATATAAAACACAGATAATATGTGTGAGCTTACAGTATTCAATAGTATATTTCATCACTAGGGCCTAAAGTGACTCTTTTTGACCCGAGGTCAAGTTTTAGGAAAATGAGCGAGGGTTAAAAAGACACTTTTACCGTGTTGTGAAGTATATTTTTGTCATATTGCATCGTTAATTAACAAACTAAGCAAGAAAAAAAAATGTTTATGTAAAGATAACCTCTCAAAACAACTTCCAGCTGTTTAGTAAGTGATTCAATCATTTCGTCTATTACGATTGTGTTACAGTACATTATAGCATCGATATGTCGAGCTATCGACAACAATAGGCTAAAAAACCTTACCTAATAAATCAATCGATAAATAATTTCGGTCGATAATATGGCCACAATCAAAATTTAAAACTGTTTACAACAGCTGATTTTTACTCCCTAGGGACTAAAAAATGATTTTTACTCCCTAGAGAGTAAAAAATGCTACTTTAAACCCGCAACACATGCATTACAAACAGCTTCTTTTGCTGCAGTATGACAAAAAATTCATTTTCACAAACGGTTTCGTTCCTTCTCTCTGTTTAAAATATGACTGTGGTTAAAAATAGTAAAGGATCGGCCCTCCGTCAGATCATCATCTTTAAAAAGAAAACTAAATCGTAGAAATCATTATGTGGGACAGGCAAAAAAGGATGTTATAGTGTAACAGAGAAAACCCCTTTTTTAATTAGGTATATTTTTGTGGCTTACCAAGGGTATAATGATAAATATCTGTGATCAGAAAGAAAAATACTCTCCCCGCAGCAAACCTGTGCAGACTAAGCGAATTTCCATTTGTCTGGTTGGATTTCCACTGAAATATTTCCTTAAAATTGTCACATTTGTTTCCTATATACATAACATTAATTTGAATGAGTACTTAGGTTTGCTGCTACAGGGAAGGTAATAAGGTATGTTTTTTTTTTATTGAAATGTTGATAGCTTAGTATGAAATAAACAAATTTTCAAAATTCCATTAAAATATATCAATAAAACAGCAAACTACAACAGTTTACTTATTGTAATGTATCCATAAGAATAACATGGGAATTTTAAATTTACAATTTTTTGGAATTTTCTCCATAACTGTTAGGCGCATAACAACGCTACAGTATACTAAATTGTTTGGGTTTTTTTTTAGCTCTAAAAAATGATTTGGAAATAAAAAATCAAATTTTTTTTATTTTAAAGTCAAAAATGGAAAAAAAAACTGTTTTTACCCCATAAAACCTCCGTTCCAATACTCATTCGAATTAATGTAGGTTTCATGTTTTTACCAAATTTAATCAAAATCGGATCATTTTTGCTTTAGTTATCGTTCTAACGGACATATATATATATAGCCTATATGAATTTGAACGGATGATGTTTTTGGCCTCTAGGGACCTCAAAATGAAAAAGTAAATTGGTCCTGGGTCCAGGTCTTACCATGATTACTACGGTAATAGCTTATTCCCTATTTTCCCTATGGGAAATTCGCTAAAAAACACAATTTCTGGAAGATACCCGATTTTATTATGATATTTAGAATATTTAGAAGAAATAACAGTACCCTATATCAACTTATGTTTATTACTGTATGTAGACTTAGTAAAAAACAAACATAACTCATGAGATATGAAAAGCACCACACGATATTAAAGCCAATACAATCAGCAGCCGTGACAGCTTCATTGGAGTTGACTGTAAATGAGCTGTACTGGTACTGTACAGTGAATAAACTTCTGGGGAGCAACAAGGCCAATGTCTACATTATATCCAAAATGTGACCTTTTGCAAGTTTGTTGGATTACCAAATGTGCCGTTCCGGTAAATGTTGAATTATCAACATTGGACTGTAATGTTAGAAGCGATGCAACATAAAACTAGAAAGTGTACAAACCTAAAAACAGTGTTCCCCAGGGTAGCAAGGTGGGGTAACTGTAAGTAACACAACGTGACAACCTTGACTATACATAGCAGAGCAGTCCATATGTCAGGCAGCACGGTCCACATACGCAAGGCTGTAGCTCGACTACGAGACCTCAGTAGTCTGTCACTCCACATCTGGTGGTACAACTCAGCTGCATGACACACCTGCTGTGCCGTCTGCCTTACACAACTGACGATGTCACTAAGGGTCATCGCTAGCCCCAGCTCTGGTTTAGGCCTGCAAAAAAATCTTTAATCAACGGAAGAAGTAGGCTATGCGTGTTAAAGGTTTACTCAGAAATTCAATTGAATGCAAAGTTTTAGCTGGAGCTTCAACTGGACTCAGGGTACTGATTCTAACAAATAATAGCTTGCAACCTTCTGACACTATGCTTCCTTTTGCATTAGAACGAATGCAGTTCCCTATTATCCTGGCATTTGCAATAACTATCAACAAGGCGCAAGGACAGTCAATTTCTCAAAGTTGGAGTGTATCTCCCGAAACCTGTGTTTGAACACGGCCAACTCCATGTTGCCGCCAGTAGAGCAAAGTCTTTTCGCTTAGGTTCGTTGTAAAATGAAAACCTTTGACATTCCCTGAGATATAGAGGATATATAGGGACTATTTACGTGCTTAGGCATATCGCTCATAGGCAATGCCGTTCTTCAGTATGTGAAACAGCTACATTTAGAAACTGTACGTTGTTTAATAAACTCACACAATAGTGCGACCCCGGGACGTCCTAGTTTGTAGAAAACACTAAAATACAAGATCAGCTTTTGAAAAATGATAAGATATTTACAAGAAATGTTAATTATATCAAACTATTATGTACATTGTGAGTATTTCCACAATCTTTGAGTTGACTCTTTTAAAGTCATCAGAAATTATGACTGTTATTCGTTTTAAAATAACGCCTGTAACACTTCCAAATTGCTCGAATTCGAGCAACAGCTAGTACCTTTATAAATTGTTTCAATGTTTGTTTTAGTTTAACATTTATGCTGGTCATTTACCTTAGTTAAGTAGTAATTGATTTTGTTTTTTTTTGTTCGTTTTAAAATCATTTGTAAAGTTTGTAGAAGTTTTGAATAACTTTCAGAAAAAATTCTTATTTATATAGAAGGTTTTTTATTCGTATTAATAAAATAATTGACAGCACTACAATCTACCTTCGCACAGTGACTAGAGCAGACTGACTCATGACAAGGTCGTTGCCAGCTCCGCTCCCAAACCCTCAAAAACACAAATAAGATTGTTCCAAAGTTAACCGTGCCACTATGCTAGGATCACAAGAACGGTTTGTGGGCTGTTCCTATTTGATTGTATTAGTTTGATTTTGTTTAAATCGCGCCGCTCCGCTCTCAATAGCTGTTTGTGTGTTTTACCCTAATAAATTCAATTTCTGCCTACATTAGTCAGTGTTTTTACTGAACTACTTAAAACTAAATAGCGGGATCAATTTAGGATGAGGAATATTTAAAGGAATGCTAGGGGTGCAATACACGGTTATAGGTGAAAAAAATAATTCTAGGTTTTAAACACAAAAGTCACTTTGTAACTAATGTTTTGACATCTCCCTAGAACTCAATAGACTCTGATTTATATTCTGTTTTATAACTTTTCCACTTAGTGTTGAAGTTGCCATCACACTCCTACTATACCAGAGACCAGGTGCCCCTGTGTGACTGAGGTGATCCGATCCCTGCATATAGACATAGTTTTGTTGGATCAAGAATCTATCCCAATCATACATGGGACATAAACTATTTGCTTTTTTTGTCAGAACAAACTAGAAAATGTAAAACAACAAAAAAAAATTATGAACCTGTACAATGTAGGCAGATGACTGTCCTTTAAACAATCCCGCAGGTTTTGAAGTTTCTTATGGATGTCTTCAGAATGAGAAAACACAAGCTGATCTAGAGCAAGTATTGACTGGCAGGGAACGGGCTGCACAACAACATCAGCTGGTAGAGACCAGTTCTGCCAACCTTGCCAATGATCCAGAAGACATGTCAACTGTCTACACAGGCTGGCCATAATGTGAAACCGACTGTGATAGTTCGATGTGATTTGTTGTAGTTGAGAGCAGAGAGGAATATTGCACCCTTGGTAGATGTCACTTTGGTCCTGCAAGGAAATAGTTTTTCACTTTTTAGCGAATTTCCCTATAGGGAAGTAGCTATTACCGTAGGTCTCATGGTAAGACTTAGGCCCGGGACCGATTTACTTTTTCATTTTAATGTCCCCAGAGGCCAAAAACACCATTCGTTCAAATTTTTATATATGTATATATATATATATATATATATATATATATAGATTTATATATATATATATATGTGTCCGTGAACACGATAACTTGAGTAATTTTTATCCGATTTTGATGAAATTTGGTTTGAAGGTGTAAGGCGGGATAAACTTGAAAGAGTTTGCGATCCAGCATGATCGGACCATGGGAACAGGGTTTTAGGGGGGGTTTTATGTGGTAAAAATTGGTTTTTCTCACTTCTTACCCACAAAACACAAAATTTCCCAATTTTTCTCTAAACCTTCTTAAAGAGCTTAAAAAAACTAACAATTCAGTATATCAAAGTGTTTTTGTACGGTTATTGGTTACGGAGAAAACTAAAAAAAATGGTAAATTTAAAATTCCCATGTTAAGCTTATGGAGAATATTGTAAAATCTTGTAGTTTGCTTGTTTATGGATATATTTTTATCAAACTTGGCAAATTTATTTATTTTATAGTAAGCTATCAATATTTTACTAGAAACACACAACTTTATTAGTTTCCTTGTAGCAGCAAACCTAGGTACTCGTTAAACCTAATGTTATTTAAATAGATCAATTGAAAATCAATTCGGCCAAATGGAAATTCGCTTAGACGGCAGGTTTGCTGCGGTGGGGGTATTATTTTTACATGATGGGAGCAGTAGCTTCTGGATCATCATTAAATCAAGCAAATTTATAATTATTTTTTATTATGAGATGTACCCAATCACTGAAGTCAAAGCAAATAGAACTGGCGGGTCAAGGTCATGTTTTGTTTTGAAACTGGCCGCTGGTATTATTTAGCCGCCAGTTCTATCTGCTTTGACGATATAACAACCTCAACTTTCAGGTATAAGGAAACTTGATGTTTGAATGAATGAATGAATGATTAATGATATTTATTGGCACAAAATGTACAGAATATTACAGGATGTATGTACAGGTGCTTCGTCATGAATAAAATTGTCCTTATAGAAGTCGTCTCTTTCCTTCTAGGTTATATACATTTAAAAATCGTTAATAAAAATTAGACTATGTTTGGGTCTGAATATGTACTTTATTGAGATGGAGTCACACTAAGTACACAGGATCGTCTTACAGCAGCACATGGTACAATAAATCTTAACTATGCTTAATTACCATTATATTTTTATATTACTCGAATGAAAACTGATTAGTCAGTTATGCAATATTAAGAACACTAATAACACTAGGGATCTGCGGGTCCTTGATATTTTAAGGTGGGGTCTGTTTCAGCTGATTATCTGACTCTTGGGGAGTGTAGGCCTATATTGTGATCACAGAAAGTGACATGTCTCCGTACTCAAGATGTCAACTATTTCTTCCCAGCCATTGGAGACGTTCATGATTTCACCGTGATTGTAGAAGAAAAAGATGATGTTTCTGCGATCGCGCCAGATGTTCACTATTTTTCTGCGGCCATAGGAGACATTCATGATTCTACCGTGATCGGAGGGGACGAAGATGATGATGTTCTCTGTTTTCCACAACCACACGAGACATTTATGTTTTCACCGCAATCGCAGAAGATGAAGAAGGCAGATGTCAACGATTTTACTGTGACAGCAGATGATGCTTTCAATTACAAATTTTGTATAAGCTTATTAGTATATCAATCAATATATTTTTTTAATTAATTACAGTATTTCTAAAACTACCCAATTTTGATCCGATGCCCGGAGGTCAACATTTTTTACTCAACCCGAAAGAAATGAAAAATGTCTTGCCCCAATCTAAGACCCCTAATATTATTATCTAAAAATTACTAGCTAGTCTCCTAGGTTGTAGAGTAGCGTTACTGGCCCCATGAGGATCGATTTGAGGCTCAATTGTATTCTAAGATCATTTGTGGAAGTGTGTTACATCTCTAAGTTTATTTATTTTAACTGCACTATAAAAAGCTTAAGCATGGTTTTCTTAACTTAATGAAGACAGGTTTTTGAATCACTCACTGCAAATGCATCCCCACAGTTGCTATGAGAAGTGGCCAATGCCACACAAAACAAGAGATTGACTAGCCACTTAGGTACAGACTCCAGGTTGATCTCTCCGTGACTGAGACGATCCCTCAGTCTGGGACCTGAGAGACTAGATGTAACATCTAGAAGCAGCATCAACAGTCCACTGTTCACTACTGGCTCTGGTAAAATAGATGAGAGTATTACTAACCAATACAATAGAACAAAACAATTTTGACTCCTCTGTGACTCAGGCAGCTGATGATTAAACAGCTAACTGCAACGGCATATTTTATTTTCTGTTATATAAAAATATTATAATTTATGTTGTGTCCTAAATGAACTATGTTATGCGTTTAAAATGCACTAATTATTCTGTGCATGTGTGATTTGGATTGTACTGATGACAATTATCATTTAAAGTATCGTACGTTACTCGCCTGGTAAGCTTGAACTACCGTGCTTGCACAAAAATCCCCGGTAAAATACCACTTACCGGGCTAGTAACATAATATACTATAACCATCTACTTAACTTAAATTTTGCGAGTTTTTAGAGGAATTTACATAATCAGATTTTTAAATCCTTAATCCATACACTACTTTAATTCACTCAAGATTAATAATTTGTTTTGCCACATTACTTACTTAATAATTTGAATAAGGAATGCCTATGCAGGCATTTCTAAGTGGATTGGAAAGTAATAAAATTTATATTACAATTACAGGAATAAAAACTAACTTTGAGCTGGAGCCAAGATTTCATCCAGAGTTGTGTATAAAGTTGTAGATTCAGCAGTGAGTAGTCTTGCAGGACAGTCATTGACTCTGCAATAGAGCACTCTAAGGCAGTGCTCTAACTGTGGCATCAATAGTACCAGACTGTACCCATATCTAAAAAATAATTATAGAAATAATGATCAAAGGGAAGTGGAATTTACTATTAAAACTAAAGTATCTGTTCAGCATTACGTTGTTGTGGAGTTTATGGTGGTAAAAAATAGTTATTTGTGCAACTAGTGAGAAAAGTGAGCAATTGACTCACTCGAGAGAAATTCTTACTCACGAGCCGTAGGCGAGTGAGGAATGGTTTCTCGAGTGAGGCAATTGTACTTTGAACTCGAGTTGCACATTATACTTTTCCTACAGTTACCATAAAACAAATAAATTGGTGAAGAAACATAACCTATTTCTACACAGAAGTGAACTTTTAATATAACATTTAACGTGAAGTGACAAATACAACAGTACAACAGCTGACCAGCTGATTTACAGCCAGTGCTGCCAACGTATTTCGCGCACATTCGACGTTGCCTGCATGTTACGCGCTCACTATTTCGTGCCTTCACGTTGCAAATCTGGAGTGAGACAAAGTAATTAGAGTGAGACAATGTTAACATTGTCTCACTGATGAGCGAATTGGCCACTTTGCTTTCTCATCTTCTCTAGAGAACATGTACATTGTTAGGTAACTGTAGGAAAAGGTAATTAATATTTTTAAAAGTCTTCAAATCTCTCTAAATACAATTCACACAAATACCAATGTTCTTAATTACAATACACAATATTGAAAATAAAAATAGTTTACATTTGAAGAATATATAACTAACCAGAACTTTACTAGAATTTTTTTTTAAATACTGTAGAGTAAAATAACCATTCAACTCTTATATTATATCTTATGTCTCTACTGTGATTTGGGTTCTCATTAGTGATTGTACTGATGACAATTATGATTAATTTTCATTCAATTTTGTGAACTGTGTTCGACCCTAGCTCTAATGAAGTAACCTGGAATAATTTAAGTAATCCCTTAACTGAATATCTTAAAAGTGTGATAAAAATGTATAATTGAACAAACCTTTCCGATTGAAGCAAGCTTAACGTTTTTCTCCAAAATGTTTTACCCCTGTCTGGTATGAAGCGGGACATTTTCAACATACCTTCAATTTCTTCTAACCTACTTGAGATATCAGGAAATACATTTACAAGTTCTGTTTGAAAAGTTGAAACAAAGGGACGTTTTGGTACAATCTGAAAAAGAATTACACAATTATAAACATGAATTTTCATAGTACTTCACAAAATATTATATGTGTACGGTTGATTCTTAACGATTCAAACTGCACTTAATCTTCTATATCTATAGCTAATAAGGATAACAAACTTTTGAGAAAACGGTAAGCCACATACCTATTACCCGCATAACGTACTTGAATGAAAGGTCTGGATGAGAAACTTCCCAAAAAGAATCAGTTTTTGTATAAACCTTCTCTTCAGGGGACAAACCTTAAAGGTGTGACACATAGCGGAACACTATTCTAAAGTGTGAACAGTTTGCGAAGCCGTTGTATTTAATCACACTAGGGGTTGTCCAGTGGTCGAAAACTCAACCAAAAATATGTAATGAACAGACATAAAGTAATGGCAACCCATAAGGCCCAGGTAGATAGAATTTTTAATTAATTTTTTGTGCTCATTTTGAGCCTATTTTAATTTAGAAAGGGATTCTGCAAATCTACAGGCAAATATCTTTCTAACAGTATTCGTAGATTTCCCCTGTGAAGCACATGAGCTGAGATAAAAGGTTGTCAAGAAACATGCTTGCCTATATGATAGGATTTAAAATATTGAATATGTGTCAGCTGTTGCAATTGTTTTTTATTTTTTTATAGTAGTTCACTTTTCCTAAATTAACCTTTTAATTCTGCCATACAGCTGATTGCAAATTTATGAACCAAAGAGATATTCATAATATTCAAAAATATTATGATTATCAGAACTATTCAAAAGTAAATATAAAAATATATCGATATTTATCTGGTTTGACATTAATATTGCAATGATTTTAATTTGACCATTTTTTAATGATAAATAAAACAATAACATTAACAAAGCTTTTTATTCCTTAGTTTCCACTTGAATATTTAAGATTTAAAATAGAAGAAATATTAATTTAGGTTTTGATTATTGTTTTGTTTTGATACTTTTCATAAAATGTGTTTATCTTTTTGTATTTATAGTTTTATTATTGACTATACACAGAATTATTTATTAAATTATCAATAAAAATGTTATTGGTGGTTACAATAAAAAAAACTTATATAATTGATATATCGAACCAAACAAGTTTCGATATATATCGTTATTTATCCGATAATATATCGTAGAATCTTAGAACTTTGGTTCTCTGCGGAAGTATACCCAATAGTTTCAAATTATTATCGGCATAAAATCATTGAGTTTGTGGGGTCAAAATTAAGCTACAGTAAACCAATAGCTTCAAATCCTTCGAGACACCCTCTAATCTTGGCCCTGGCTCTGATACTGTCCCATTGATTCTACATGTGAAACATTTTTAATACAATCAAGAATTTAAAGATCAGGAGTAAGTGGTTTCAACATAAACCCATAGAAACATAGTACTTTGTTGAGGTTTGTTAAATGAGTATCTCCATCTGAATGAGGTCTGTTAAAATCAACTTTCTTTATTAAGCTCACTAATATACAAGACAAGGCACATGCAGGTTTTTTTTAACACAACCCAAACTAAAAGTAGCAAGCTTGGCGGTCTTGCTTCCTCTACCTACTTAATTAACTAATATAGTTATGATAAATAATGTCATCATAATCATAATGTTATATAAATGAAATAAAGTAAGCAAGGCTGCCAAAATATGAGCTTGTTTTGTGACGAAACAGTAAATTTCTAGTACTTTTAGTTTGGATTGTATTAAAAAAAAACCACATGAACTTAACATTATGATAATTGGCAAAGGAAACCCCTCTAAGGCTGATTTAAACTGTTAAGGCAAGGGTGTTAAATATATATTTCATAAAGGTCAAGTGATTTTAAAAAGAATATGACTACATCCAAGAAACCTTAATAAAACTTTAATTGAAGGATTCACATTATTCACATTTAAGGGAAACAACAAACCATCTGAACAACATTAGGCCTTTCAATTCTGCATTTTTTCAGGTAAATATAATTTACGTTATAACAATGACTAGCCAAATTAATTCAAATTGAAGCAAATAAAGTTGTGTCAGAGAGGTTATGCAGAGAATCAGGTAGTTTCAAGTAATGTAAACAAAATGTTATGGCTATAAAAAATTACTGAAATTTGTAAACGTACTGGCGACAATAGGTGGTACCATGCGGACTACATTATCATTGACTAAGATCAACATGGACAACCTAATGCGGCTATAAGTGGGAAACATTTGTAGAATACACTAAAAAACCAGATCATTTAAAAATGATAAAATATTTACGAGAAATTTTGATTATATGGAGCTGTTAGGCACGTAATCTATTAGTTGAGTCTTTTAAACTCATCGGAAATTATGATTTATATTTGTTTTTAATTAAGTTATTTGTTTTTCAATAACTACTTTACTTCTTTGCAATTGCTCGATTTTGAGCAACATGTACACTAATGTTTCATTAAATCCGAGCAAAGGTCGGTCAGTCTCCCGGTACTATGAACAAAAACACTATCCAAGCAAGTGATACCCACCTCATAATCTAGCAATATTTTCCCAAGGGAGGCAATGAGAATGACCAGTCCAGATACAAGGTGGGGATGAAGTTCTCCTTCAGAGACAAACCCGTGCCAAGCAACGTTGCGTAGGTTAAGACCTCTTGGACATCCCAACAATAGTTGTGTGAATACTATCTGCACAAAAATGAAATATTATCACCTGAGTGCTCACAAAACAATACAAGAGGCTAAATAACTTATTAATTGTTAATGTGTAAGTTAATAGTATATTTCACTACTAGTCCCGAAATGGGACTTTCATGATAAGTATTGAACGATACTTTTTATCACGATGAAAAAAACTACTTCATCAAACTTAAAAAGTTATCTGATATTTCGTAATCCATTCATTTTTTGAATCTAAACACAATACGGCTGTACAATTAATTTCAGTGTAAAATTCAGCTGATTGAACATAAACAAACTGCCAAAACAAACAAATAAATCACAATGGTTTGTTGTTAAATTTCAGTGTTCTCTACTCTATGTTCTGTCAGATTTATTCGTGTTTTTTAACAACTATTTAATCTAGTCAAAATTTGACATTAACACGTTCGCTGCGGCCCATCAAATGGCAAGCGTAGCCCCAGTGCGGCGCAGCCCTTATCATCGAACAAACCCGATTTTTCCGGGTGATTGACTTTCAAATTTCAGTCTGATGAATAGCAAATAACGTGTGGTGATGTCCTGATTTACAACGAGAGACGACGTAGTTCGCTAAAACACCCACAGATAGCAGCACTACTTGGAACGTAACCGGTCCCATTGTATTGCCAATTGGAGGGAGAAAGACGGGACAACAAGATGATTTTTAAGCTTGCCAGATGGTTATTTTACGGGGAAATTTACTACCAACCTAAACCACAACAAAAAGCAAGTCACACACTACATACTAACGTGGTATAGGTCCGCCTTCGACCGACGCTAGAGCAAAAACGAAGATATGCGAAAGGCATTGCCGAGCGTTCCCGATTGAGTACGGATGCACCATAGCGGCGCCGAGCACCGTACCCGATCGGGAACGGCCGCATACGTGTTTTAATGCAAGTTGTAAACTCTGTTAATAAAAATTCTATTTAAACAAATCATTTTTCTGTTATGTATTTTTAATTAAACACAATGGTGCTAGCTCCTTTTGAGCTAACCGGGAACTTCAGTTGTAACTTTGTTGATTTTTGGCAAAGTATTGTTTGTGTAGCGAAAGTAATGTTTATGTCAGGAAAAGTCAGCTGATCACTATTTGTTTTTGGTGTATGGAAATTGATGATTTTCGAAGATCTCAGCTGTATTGAAATGGGCTATTTTCCAATACAGAGTAATGAAAAACTACTAACATATGCTACACTATCAACCCATGTTAGTACACACTTGCTTAAGAGAAAAATATACATAAGTTCCTGATTCAAATTTTCTGTTAGTCAAATTTGAATGCTGCATTTTAAACTTATTATACTGAAATATTGCAAGTCGGTCAGGAAGGAGACCATTTTAGATAGCCAGAGAACTATAAAATATGGACCACACGTGCAAAAACCAATGTACAAGTTTTGAGACAACAAAAAATTATTGCTGTATTTATCTTGTGTAAAAAAAATACAACTCATGAATACCTCTAATCTATTTGTCCAGATTTTTTCTTCTGCAATCTGCCATTAGTCTATATTTTTTCTTTCCAACTGCTCTTTTGTCATCATCAAGAGTCTATATTGTTAACCTACTTATTGGGCATATTAGCTACCTAACTCTTGCAGTCTAGTGTCTTGTTCTTGCGGTTAACCAAAGACTGCAGGACTTATTACTTCCAGAGCATATAGCCGGAATTTATATTTTTATTTTAACATGTTTTTACTAATTCTGGTTATAAATTAAAGTACTTCCTAGACAATCTTGACAACATATTGTTTGTAATCTTTGAATTTATTTACCGTACATCGCATTTTACAAAAAAATACAAAACCAACTGAATTTTTGAATAGTTTAACCGTTTCAGGGCTTCCACTACACAAATTAATTTTAAAGGATAATACCGTGGTGATACTGATATGAAACCTAACCACTAAGGAATGAGGGTAAGAGCAATGCACAGACACTCCATACCAATCACAATCGTGAAGTACAGTATTAACAGTCAGTTGGTGAACAGATACTCATCCCCTGTATACTTTTACGTCCGTCAGAGACACTTCTGCCTTTTTCACTACAACGGCAAAAGCTCCCCACAACTCCTGCTTTTGCGATGACAATCAATAAGGCGCAGGGACAGTCATAAGTAAAGAAGGTGTTTTACTCCCAGCACCAGTGTTTGCTCTCGGTCGGCTCTACGTTGCTGTGAGCGAGCATGATCTTTTGCTGGAGTTAAAACCTTTTAAATACAAGGGAACAAGGAAAGTTTAGAATCACCGAACTGGTGTATTAAAAAAAAGTATAGTATACCGGAAACTCCTGATGTAAAATTTTATAACAAATGTATATTAAACATTTATGACCGTTTATAAATGTCATAAACCAACAAGTTTTTTACTTTTACTACCAGATCCCGTATAAGGTCTCAAATAGAGCCACTTACTACTTTTATTAGCGAATTTCCCTATAGGGAAGTAGCTATTACCGTAGGTGGCATGGTAAGACCTAGACCTGGGACCGATTTACTTTTTCATTTTGATGTCCCCAGAGGCCAAAAACACCATTCGTTCAAATTTTTATATATGTATATATATATATATATGTATACGTATATGTATATATATATATATATATACGTCCGTGAACGCGATAACTTGAGTAATTTTTGTCCGATTTTGATGAAATTTGGTTTAAAGGTGTAAAGCGGGATAAACTTGAATGAGTTCGCGAACCAGCACAATCGGACCATGGGAACGGGGCTTTACGGGGGGTTTTATGGGGTAAAAATTGGTTTTTCTCACTTTTGACCCTCAAAACACAAAATTTCCCGATTTCTCTTTAGACCTTTTTAAAGAGCTTAAAAAAACAAATCATTTAGTATGTAAAAGTATTTTTGTTCGATTATTAGTAACGGAGAAAATTAAAAAAATTGTAAATTTAAAATTCCCATGTTATTCTTATGGAGAATATTGTCAAATGTTGTAGTTCGCTTGTTTATGGATATATTTTGATCAAACTTTGCAAATTTATTTATTTTGTACTAAGCTATCAATATTTTACTCAAAAACAAACTTTATTAGTTTCCTTGTAACAGCAAACCTAGGTACTCGTTAAACCTAATGTTATTAAAATATATTTAACTGAAAATCAATTCAGACAAATGGAAATTCGCTTAGTCGGCAGGTTTGCTGCGGCGGGGGTATTTTTCCTCTTGCAGGCACATTTAGGATTTTTTCCCAACAGGTTTTTTCTTTCTTATTTGTTTTTTAATTTGTTTAGTCTTCCCTTTTCCCCCACCAAGTTTTGCTTTAGTTTTCACTATGTTAGTAACTGCCCAGGCGGCAGCTCTCTCACCAATACTAAGAGTCTGAAGCTTTTACGCTTTCCCAAGCTAATAAGCTGTCAGCCACTGATCTAATTTTACTATCCTTCGATCTTGAGTATGCTATATCGTGGTTTTTGCGTGCAGCATCCAATTTATTTATGCCTGGATCACCCCTTGCTTATCTCTTCCTTAAATTCGTTCCAGGTCCACAGTACTGATAGCCGGGTATGTGAAATTCTACAGGTGAAATACCCTGTGTCTATGTACAAGAAGATTATCTGTGTACATACAGGGTGAATAAAAAGTCAAGACTCTCCCATCTAATATTTTTCTAAGTTAGAACACAGTATAGTCTTCTTGTACACAGACACAGGGTATTTTAATTGTAGAACTTCACATACCCGGCTATTAGTACTGTGGACCTGGAACGAATTTAAGGAAGAGATTAACAAGAGCATAAATAAATTGGATGCTACAAGCACAAACCACGATATAGCATACTCAAGATCGAACTATAGTCAAATATACACAGATGCCCTTTTGGTGGTCGTGCAAACTTAGCACAAAGTTTCATTTTATGATTTTGAAAAGTTATAGTGTCCCCAAAAAATGAGGGATTATGGGCTACCTGGAGATTACTCTATATATATATATATATATAAGATATATTAAACTTCAAACACTACCTATTTAATTTTAAACAGTATGATTTAAATTGGCATTCTGTTAATTACATTTTTTAACCCGCCCTTTTAACAGTGTGTATCTGAATGTGAGTTTTTCAAGATCCGGATCCAGTATAGATATTTTCTTGGATCCGCCCATCACTACGAGTTTTTCCTCGTTATTTTTTTCAATCAACATGGTTATTTGGCAACCCATAAGGCCAATGTAAAAAAATGTTGATTTTCAATTAAATTTTTCCACGTAATTAGATTTTTGTTGGCAGTTTTAACTGCATCAAACACGTTTAAGGCCAGGAATAAGTTATTTAAAACATGTTAAGGAAATTTTCTAAGCCGTTTTTGAGACCTTTGTGCGAGCAGGCATGCAAGCAATCATTGCTCATATGAGTGAATAATATGATTATTATATTCCATTAGCAACTCAACTAAAAACTGTCTACTTACAGGCACTTTACCAAATACCCCAGTAAGTTCTGGAGTTTTGAGAAGATCTCGAAGTAAAAATGGAACTGGACTACTTTTTGACAAATAAACCTACAAAAAGAACAACCAATTGACAAAGACCGAATAAACTGACCAACAAAACATATTGTTTATTTGATATTTTATAACAAACAGCTTATACTTCATAACTTCACTAAAGCCCCTGTCACACGGAGCTGGTTCCAGCAGCTAGTTCTCGCAATGAGATCCAGCAGCTTTAGTTGCTAGTTCTCCAGCGCGCTAGAAGTCCTGTCAGACGAAGCTGGAGAACTAAGGGTGTGGTTCGTTTATTAGATTAGATTACTTAAAGCCAAATAAGGAAACTTAAGTCCAAAAAAATCCCCTCAACAGTGCATTTTATACTTCATCTGTATTGCCAACGGGCATTCTATAGAATGACTAGGCAAAGTTCATAATGAGCTTTATTTCATACTTGCCTCTATACATATAGATTATATAAATAGTTTACAGATTTGTTACAAATTTAATCAAAATCGGATTATTTTTGCTTTAATTACCGTGCTAACTGACTCATATATACATATTTGAACAGATTTTCTTTTATCCTCTAGGGACATGAAAACAAAAAGGTATACCGGCCCCGAATAAGGTAAACCGGAAATGCCCTACTGTAATATTCCCAACATAAATCTATTTTACACTCCTGTGAGCAAGCTTAAACGAGCATTTATGCCATGGTATCAACTGAGCTACTGATTCACCAACTTACATTGCCTAGTGCTCTCTCAAGAGCAGCAGTCAGGACCAGCACGGCTAGCAGTGGTTCTTCAGCATCTTTATGCGAATTGCACAAGACATTTGTTTGACAGTCTACCCAGTGACATAGCTGGTCTAGTGCTACAGATACACTCTCGTCCATGTCAAACATAGCTAGACCCGCCTCATGTACAACCTCCCACACAAGCTGCACTTTCTCCCTGTACCACTCAGCTGACTGTTCCAGAATATTAAAATCATCTACAACATTATTTAATGCAAATTTAAAATAACATGACAAGATATACGGATACGAGTAAAGAAATGAACCAATGAAATGGTTGTAATAAAACTCACAAGATTATTAGCTAATAATACACTAGACTACCTAATCTGGACTAGTTAACCAAGGATTCAAAATGAAATCCACAGGAGTGATTCATTCAAAGGTTGTAACTGGAGGCATATACACCTTTTTTTAGATTTTCATCTAATCATCATTTTTTATGATAATTTTTTCATTACTTTTTAATGTTTTCAGTTTTAATTCAAGCATCTTGTATAGGTACCGGTATTTAAAGAAATTTGGTTTGTCTTTTCCGAGTTTGTTTGGCTTTTCTACCCGACCGATTTAAATTGAAGGTGTGCACACACAGATTTGCCATCAAGCATCGGAGTTTATTTATAATCCCACTCGGCTTATCTAAACGAAATTTGCTCCCTGTGTATTTATTATAGGTATTTGGTTTCTCTTTTCTGAGTTTGTTTGGCTCTTCTACCCTACCGATTTTCATGATTGAGGTCTCAAATTAAAGGTATGCTTGCACAGATTTGCCATCAAGCATCGGCATATATTTATCTATAATCCCATGTGGTTTATACGTAAATGAAATTTGCTCTCAATGTATTTCTTCTCTTCTCAATTCAATTTGAAGGCATGCACACAAAGATTTTACATCAAGCATCGGCATATATTTACCTAATGTATTAATCAGCCAAAAAACATAATTTGATTCATTTTCAAATTCTTCAGTTTCACCAGTTATAACTATATAATCCTAAGGTCTAAGAACCTTCAGTGAAATACCGACTTCATTTAAGCTATTAGTTATTCAAATCGGACGAGTTTCAAGCAAACGCAAGGTGAGCAGCAACCAACATAAAAATTATTTTTCATAAGGTTTTTCCAAAAATTAATAGCTCCAGTATTGTTAATTTTTTATATGTTTTAGGCTCAAAATAATCAGTAAATTATAGGCTTTAATTTGAGCTATTACGTTCTCAATTGAGCTATACACATTCGATTTTTTTATCGGCCAATTAAAAAATCGGTCAAAAATAAATCGACCTTGATTTATGTCTAGGCGCACACGTGGCGATTTTTTAGCCAAAAAACAGGTTTTTTAGTGTGTTAAGCTATCCTAAAATGGTATTGTTTAATTAACCTGTGTTTGTGCTGTTCTAATTAGATGAAAGAAAAAAAGAAGATGACGTACATATTGGTTTCAACCGATAGTAAGTCAGAGACTTTTAAACTGTACACTTGTTTACATGATGACAGTAAAAGTTCTTTAATTACTATAGAATGTCTGTTGAAAGTTTTGTTACTATTAGTTGGAAAACGGATAACTTACAAAAGTACCACGATGCGACTACCTGTTCCACCAGAGGAAAGACAGTCAGTAACTCTAAGATAAGTTATTATTGAACCACACTATACCACATTTATTCAATAGAAATTAATTAATGTATTATTCAAAACCTGGAGAACAAGTGACTGGCCGATTTTTTAGTTGACTGTGTGCGCTGACAGGTAACAAACTGTACGTTACAGATTATCGGCTGACAATATCGCCTCGCCTCGCCTACGAATCTGCAGAATTTAAAATCGAGGCAATTTTCGATCGCCTGTGTGCGTGCTTCCATTCTAATACATGATGCACAGATTGGCCGATGAAATAATCGCCTCAAAATAATCGCTCGTGTGCACCTAGCCTTAAGCTAAAAATACTGTATTACTCAATCAAAAATTTGATTATTTCTCTGATATTATATTTATTTTAACGCTGAGGAGCAACATGGATCCTCCAGTTGCAATGATAATATGTGGGTAGAACTTTTTCCAACTGTATATAGATTCCAGTTCATTTGTGCTACCTAATTAATTAAAGGTTGCAGTTGTGTTTTGTTTTGTACTTGTGAAATATTTCATTTTGTGTATTTTTGCTCCATCAGCATTTTTACACGCTTTTTGTAGAGGAACATTCCACTTCCAGATCTTGTTAACACTAACGTTGATTTTTTGTTGCGGTACAAAGAAACCAATTTGGAGGTAGCCTATCCAGAACAAACTTGCAATACTTGTTTACATTGAGGCAAAAACCAAAACACACCATATTTGTGATGTGGCCCGGTTTTACCCTTGAGACCACAATAGTGGTATTACTCAAAATCAGGTTGGTACCGGTACTCAAAATGTTATAAATGTCTTGAGAATGAAAATTGAAAAGGACCTTGGTTGACAGTTAGTATGCAGTGGGCTGTCAAGGGTAATTTGTCTTTTAAGGAACCTTGTGCAGCTGTTCCTGAAACTTACATCAGGACGGCCTATTTTTTTTTTTTCAATCAATTCTGAGCTGTCCTGATATTGTGGGGAAATGCCAGTCAAATTGCTGATGTTCTAAAATTGCAAAAGAAACTGTTACAATCTTATATAGCTACAAATCTCCCTTGAGAACATTGCAAGCTGCTCACTGTGATGGTTTGTTAATATTTGGTTGTTTGTTCAATGTTAAAAAAACACCATTGACACTCATGTAACTAGGTCTATCATATACACAACCACAATACATGAAATAAGCATTTTTTAGATAGATGAACCATTTTGCATGTTAAGTAAAAGTCAAGTAACAACCGCTACTGTACCAGTGTAGGCCTACTGGTTTACAGCTTTTTAACACTCTTTGTGCCTACTCTAGAAAACTGGGGTTACGATTATTTAAGAGAGATTATACCACATGGCTGGTTGTAAACACTTTTTATAAGATGAATGATTTTTTTGTCACACTGCAGCAAAACAGGCCGTTTTTTTTTATCCATGTTGTGGGTCTAAAGAAGCATTTTTAGCCTCTAGGGAGTGAAAATTGTTTTAGCCTCTAGGGAGTAAAAATCAGCTTTTGTCAACTTAGTAGTAAATATCGATTATAAACAAAATTGCATGTATCGAAAGTATCTATGGATTGTTTAATCGATTATAGTTAAATGTTGCCTTACTGTAAATAGTTTGACATATCGATAGTATAATGTACATTACCACAATCGTAATAGACAAAACAATTGAATAACTTACTGAACAGCTGCTTGTTTCCATTAGCAAATTATATTGAAAACAGGTTAGAAGTAGTTTTGAGAGGTTATCTTTAAATGAAAACTAATTTAGCCTGTAACATGTTTGTTCAAATAATGGTGCGATGTGACAAAAAAGATAGCCTAGTTCATCACACAGGCAAAAAGTGTCATTTCAACCCTCGCTCATTTTTTTTACCTTGGATTCGCCTCGATCGTAAAACTTGAACTCAGGTAGAAAAGTCACTTCAGGCCCTAGTGATGAAATATACTATTTTTTATTAGGAATAATTGTTTTGTAAACTATTTCTCTTTTACACATTATGTAAAAATTGTACTCATTGACTAGCCATTTTTAAATGCAATTGATGCTTTCCTTAATTTAAACATTTTTAGCCTACCCCTGACATTATCTGTTCTTTTCTAAACATCTTGGTTCTTTCTGTTTTGATTCTGTATTCAGCATTTTACTGTCATTGTTATCACTAAAATTTTAAACTTGTTAGGCCTACTATTTTGTTTTTAAGTCAGTACTTATATTGTAAACTCAGTGTGTTAGAAACAACCACTTGACTTCGTCTATTACATTTGTGAAAATTTTAACTGACAATAAAGATTCTGATTATTTTTTACTGCAAAATCAACGGTCAATAGCCTTCTTTCTATTAATACAGGGTTTAAAAATTTGACAAGCATAACTTTAAGATTGTACAGTTTTATTTAAATGAGTAAAGTTAGTTACAAATATTGAGAGTTGCCCATGTGCATTAGGCTTAACTCGTCTTAGCTTTATTATTAACTATATAATATAAGGATCTTTTAATTTCTACCTTACAATTGACAATATACATTGAATTAAAAACTTGGTCTTAGGATACCTATATCAGCATTAACTGAAGATATGCTTTTAGCCTAGATGTCAATATTTTGGGGACGCGCCAAGGTCCACGGCCAACAAGGTCTACGACCACCAACCTGACCTACGATTGGTGGTGCGAAATGTCCGAGCTGAACCGGGTGAAGGGGATGTAGTCGTGTTTGCTGCCGGTAGACCTTGTTGCCAGTGGCCAACGCATCTGTTAGGCTGGTGCGGTCAGGACAAAGTCTCCTTTACATAACTAATATGCATTTGTTTATTGATACTATCATTATTATAGTATTTAAATGGGATAAGAGTAAGACTAATACAAAAGTAACCCGTGCTATATATTTGTATAGCATTTTTGCTACTAAGATAAATAAATCTGGTTTCTGCTTATTTTCTTAGAATAAAAAAATCCTTTTGTATTTTTTGAGGTTAATTACCCTTTTCGAAACCCTCCTACAGTAGGTGAATAATTTACTTTAAACTTTGCAATGTTAAATAAATATTTTAAAATCAGAACGATAATTAAACTTTTGGCCAGAAGATATCATAATAAGTTTTATTTTAAAAAAGGCAACTTAAATTTTTGGGGAATGCTATTATTGTATTAATTGTAATAATAGATGAGTGAACGAATCTTCTTACTACACTTATATTAACAATTGAGTTATTTGATTTTACAAGGAAATCATTGTAAAAATAAAGCTTGTTATACATAGCCGGCACTTATTGTATATGTATGGCTGAGTACCATACGAAACAACGCCTGCAAAAACTAGTATACCTTTTGCAAACTCCGCTGTATTGTGGGATGACAGGAACGCCTTTTCCATTCATTTAATCAATGGATTGTTAATCTTTGTTGCTTTTAATAATATTTTATTTATGCGCTGCTATGTTGTAGTTTTGTAAAATTTCTCAAAATGACATCATATTTTCAATTATTGTATTGTACTTATTAGAAACTAATTTTAAATATCTCTATTTGCGTCGTCAAGGCTCACTTACATTGCCGGTATTTATGCTCTCAGTTTTAACTGATGACTTCTAA